GGGGACATGTAATATAACTGATCAAGTTCTGTTAGGGTTATATAAACTCAGATGTAAGAGAACTGACACACTAAAGATGCATTTACTGAGTTTTTACTTCTAATGTTACTGTTCCCCGCAGGTCCTCTGGTCACCTGGATCTAAATCAGACCCCTCATCAATATGAAAACTGAATTTTAACTGGTTGAAATCAGGTCCTGGAAGCAAATTCAAACCATGAAATTCTTGTAAACGTTTAATTTTTCCAACTGTCCCAGAAAAGCATAACGATGGCGCTCTAATAAAGCCAGTCTTTAAAGATCAATCATGCAGAGTAATGTCAGTCACTTCCTCTGGTAACCAGCAGAGACCAGTGGCTCTCTTCCCAAACATGCGTGTGCACGTGTGTGTGTGTGTTCCTGTTTGTCATCCTGCAGCCTCATTATGTACAGCTCCCATTACTGCAGCTCTGTCAACACGCCGGCGCAGCGGTGAATGGAGGAATACACAACCGTTCATTAATGTTTTGACACCTCTCCCCTCCCCTCCGCTGTGTTACCGGGATGAGCTCCCTCTTCCTCCTCAGGCACATCAGTACAACACTTTATACATACAGATGCACGAGGCGAGCACATAACACACTTAAGCAATAACTCCTCTCTCCCGAGAGCTCTGTGGCAGCCTCGGGCCACAGCAGAGGCGATGAGGAATACATTTATTTCACAGTCCAGCCTGTTTTGTTCAGTGAATATCCAGTCAGGGACTGCAGGATGCTCTAAATGTATTCTACACTCAGCTGCTGCCTCCAGGAGCTGACGGTCCACTCCTTTATCAAGTTAGAAAGTGAGGCAGAGGTAGACTTTTTTAGTGTGTAAAAAGCTCGATATGTTTGCCAAATGGGGGCGTTGGAACCAGAAAGGTCCCATGGCAGTTTGTGGGGAAAAAAACCCTCAGAAATATAACGACTTTAAAAGCGTGTACACCGACACACACATTTCCATTTTGTCTCAGTCAGCACAAATTTTAAATTAGTGTTTAGTAGAAAGTTGAACCTCTAAACTTTACAGTGTAGAATCTACAGCCTTTAGGTTTCCTCAGGAGGCTGCCGAGAGAGAGACCAGGAACCTTCAGTGTTGAATAATAAGGGCCACACATTAAGGGCGCCATGGAAGACACATACAGACGTGGTATGTGAACTCTGGAGAACGCTTAGGCCAGTTTCAGTCCAGCATGGAGGACAAAAAAGGAGGAGAGAGGAGAGCAGGGAGAGGAGCAGGAGGAGGCTGTGATTTTTGTCGTCCGCCAATTCCTACCGGATCTGTTTCTGAGGCGAATTTCGTGACGGATTTCAGACAGCGGCAATTCCAAGAACTCACAAGAACCTGCGGATTCACAAAATCGTGCAATAACAAGTTGTCTCTATAAAAAAAAGCCAAATAATCATGTAAGATTTTGTCCTTCCAGAGGAGAAAATCCACTTCTAGACTTCTCTCCTCGACAAAGGTGTCATCGGGGTGAAACAACGTCATTCATTCCACGTTTGTACGGTGTGAAATACGATACACCTGAAACACAGAGTCGGAGGCGGATGTTTTATTTTGTGTCTGTGCCCGACTTCCTCTCCAGCTCGATCTAATCAGTGCTGAATTTATGCGGCATGCTCCGGCATCCAGAACAAATAGAACCTTGGCGATCGGCTGCTGGTGGAATTTGACACATTAACTTGGATGGAAACTATCAGTTGTGATCAGCACATACGGCGTTTTTGCAGCCGTTCAGGATGTGGTGGAAATTGGGGGTAAGTTTATGTCTGAAAAGCCAAGGGACCGAGTGAGCGGGACTAGAGAGAGGCTGTAGTGACCACATTTGCAAAAATACTCGACTACAGGTTAAAACTGTCATTTTATTTTGTGAGTATTATCACCAAAGTTAATTAAAACTTCAGTCAAGTTGGAGAATTAAATAATAGTACATCTGACTTTATCATGAAGTTAGACAGACATACTTCGGTAAACAAAACTGTCTAGTATAGAACATGCGTAGTATTCAGTACGATATGCAAATGTAGCCTAAGGTAAACAACAAACCTGTGAATGTTCCAGCTTGGAGAACAGGAGTTCCTGATTAAAAACCCTCTTCACATACCACTTGTACGCAGCACAAAAGCACTTCTAATTGGCCAGGTTTTCACACATTCATCTCAAGGTGCGGCGCTAATCAACACCCTGCATCTCTGCCAGATGATAACAGAATAAACCATCACAACAGCCCCGTCCTCTGCAGGCAGGAAGAACAGTCCTTGGAGCTGAAAGAGTCTTTTTGTCTGTCAGCTCCTCTAACAGGTGCAGCTCGAGCTTTAAAAAGAGCTGCCCTCACCTCACTCTTCATTTCGATTCTGCGTAAAGAGCAGCCTTCAGAGGAGCACCGAGCTCAGCCAACAGTTCAGATCTGCTGCTTTCAAGACCAGGGAGGAGCAGAGATGGTCTCCTACTCTGTCTCCAGAGAGAAGATTCAGCTGCAGGTCGCTCTGTCTGTTTGAGGTCAGAGGTCGAAGGGTTACTGTCAATAATCATCACTGAAAATAACAACAATGAATAAACCATACTGCTGAATTAATGCTGCACGCTCCAATCAAACCCAGACTGAGATGGAAACAAGATCACAGGGTGAAGAAAGTCAAAATAAAAATGTTCAGTATGTTCTTGAACACAAAAACAAGTTTTGAAGGGAAAAGCTTTTCGATGATTGTGTTTCAACTGAGGAGTTTCCAGCTGGTACCGAAATTCAACAAATACCAACAACAGTAAACAAGACCATCCGCAAGAAGACTGTTATTTCTCTAAAACTGAACAAACCTGATCAGGGTCAAACAGCCGGTAACACTGCGTTAGAACCCCCCCATCCTCTTTAAATAAAGGCGTTGAAACCCAGATATGAGGCACTTTTGTCTGCAAAAAAAAAAGAAAAAAAACATGATTTTTTTCCCTCCTAATGCACGGTCCCATTACTCATCTGTGTTCTGGAAACTTACCTATAAATTACACTCTGCAGTTAATTTTATAAGAGTTTCCAGTTACACTCGTGTAAAAAATCAATTACCAATAAATCACTTTGCAGCGGGCATTCACACCGCGGCATGATGGGTCGTCGCAAATACTGGAAAAAAACAAATCCATACTGCTGAAGTGATGAATTAAAAACCACAGGTAATATGAAGAGTGCTTAAAGGAGCGTGAAAATAATCAGTGTCAGAATAAATGTCAGCGTCGAGCATCTTTAACTGTGGAGAGAGCGAGGAGCTGAGTGGGGGGACGTACGAGAGCCGAGTGTCCTCTGAGTGTGAGAGGAAACAACAGGCTCTGTTTTTATAGACTGCTGCCAAAACTGTGGGAAAAGAAAGTCGGTGCATCTAAAGTTTGAGTCAGACACATAAATAATTGTCTCCGGTCCAAAAAAGTAAGTTTGTTTGTTTTCACATCTTGGCCTTTTGTTCAAGCGAAACGAAAACATGAATTACTCTCTCAAGATGCCAGAAAATACGCTTAAAAAAGCATGCAAAAAAAACGATTATGCATATCAGAATTTCAGTATTTAAAATAAAATATGCAATAGCAAAAGCAGCAGTGATTGAGACGCATGAATCCTTGTATTGTTTGGATGGATAGAGACTTTCCTTCCCTGTAGTCGTACATGACGAAGGCGAGGTGATATTAAAATGCCAAAGTGTGCCTTTTAGGCTCACACTAACATTTAGATTTAAATGTCGCTCACTGCCAGGAGACTCTTTAGAAAGCTGTGGTGGTCTGCTGACCCCTCAGTGGCCATGATACCTGCAGGTACAGCTGATGTCGGCACGCTGATTCGTGTTTCTCTCTCTCTTTTAGTCGCATTAGAGCCAGAGAGTGAAATCAATCCGTGTTTCATTTGGATGAAGAGCATCACATCAGCAACAATAACAAACCCTTCTTCTATTGTTGTATTTTTTTGAAAGAAATACTGCTGAGCAAGTAGAGGACAAGATTAGAAAAGAGCGATTTGTCCACAGGGGGCGCCAAAGTTGACACAAACCCAGGACATTTTAATGCACAAGTTAATAATGTGATTTTTATTCAATAGCTGTAAAAGAAAATAAAGTCAAATGCATTCTTACAGATCATGAATATATGAATATGTACTTTACATCAGCATTGACGCAGATGTGTTTGTACTGTGCTGCAGAGAAATACGCCGATTAAAAGTACAAGGTTTGGTGTTCTCCAGCTGTTATGGACAGGCTGTGGCATTTACATACCTCACCTGCTTGAACTCAATACTTCACATACTCTTAATGCTGCTGTATGATTACTGCATATTTCAACAGAGCTGTGTTGAATTCAGTCAAGGGTAAAGGTTTGGAGCATACAGAGCAGTGCAAACATGTTTACTGCACATTGAAGGTATTTTTATGTCGTTGCAGGAGGTAAATAGATGAGAATAGACGGTTGAACTTGCAATTCTTTTAATCGTCTTTAACGTCTTTTTCTTACAAACTGTTTTTTAAATGGGTCTCCAGAGGCTGCAACACTTCTGTTTTTTGTAATGGATTTTTCAGAAGACAAAATCTGTAAATCTGTCTTTGCTGAAAGTAAAACAAGAATCTGACGACAAGATGTGAATTCTAATAACAAAGAAAAGGATCAAGTTTCGCCCTCCTGAGGTCCTTCGGATTCACTTCCAAGTGTCGCCTGTGAAACTAATCTTTTAGGAAGAATAAAAAACAGGAAGTCCTGCCCTTCAAAAGGTGATATATAAACTCTTTAGCACACTGAAGTTTGGCCACTCTCTATAGTTTATGTATTCACAGAGCAAACATGCCCCTTGGCTTCAAACTTAAGTCTTGGCAGAGAGCTGAGGCCTGAAAACACTGAACTCACTGCTGGAAATGTCTGAGACTAAAGCTCTTCTGTCTAACTCTTGTTGTCTGGCTACAGTCAGGACTCTAAAACTGGCTTCACATATTAAGACGGAGAAAGATGTTTACCGTTGCGGTTGGGATGGTTATATAAGAAACGCTACAAGAGGAACGGAGGATGTACAGAGCTGTAAAAGTAAGAGGACTTGTTGCTTTGTTTGGTTTTCTAAAATCTTTACTTATACTGGGGCTAAACAAATCCAGTATAGGCATCAGCACAAGAGAAAGTGGAATTAACCGTCCCTTAAAGCCAGAATCATGTTTTTTTTATAATAATCAGTGGACAGCGGGTGGGATTGATCTTTTTGAAACTTATGAAAAAAAAAAAACTATCACTTTAACTGTCCATTGTTTCAACTTATTTTGTGGACTATATATTTGTTTGTCTTGTGAGGTAACCTTGAGTGCTTTGAAAGGCACCTATGAATAAAATGTTTTATTATTATAACGATTATTAAAGCTAACGACTTCGATGCTGTGATAATCTTGGCAACCAAGTGATCACAGAAGGGCAGCTGATCTCTGAGTTTTTTTAATATGATATGGTACGATACAATATAGTATGATACGATACAATATAGTGTGATACGATACAATATAGTGTGATACGATAGGATACAGTTTGATACGTTACGATAGTTTGATACGATACAATATAGTATGATACGATACAATACAATACGATACAGTGTGATACAATACAATACGATATAGTGTGATACAATACGATACGATACAGTGTGATATGATACAGTGTGATAGGATATGATACAATACGATACAGTGTGATACATTTCGGTATGTCACAATTACATTTTACACAAAACACTACCACACCTTACGACAAGATTCTTTACATAATGATCCAGCACGGAACGGTACGTTATGTTACAATACAATATGATACAAGATGTTACATTACCTTACGATACCATTCAATACGATATGTTACCTTATGATATAATGCATTATGTTGGGATTCAATTTGTTGCTGATACCACATATTACGATACGATACCTTATGATACAATACATTCGGATCTGACACGATAGCTTACGATACAACACGGTACAATACGATATGTTACAATACAATACAATAAGAGATGTTACATTACCTTATGATATCAATACGGTAGGTTATGTCACGTTATGTTACGTTACAATATGTTACAATACAATAGGATAAAAGATGTTACATTACCTTATGATACCAATATGGTATGTTACGTTACGTTACGATACAATAATTACGTTGAGATACAATATGTTGTTGCTACTATACATTACAATACGATACAGTCCAATATGACAAGATAGCTTATGATACAATACGGTACGTTACCTTACAATGAGATACGATGCGATACATAATATGATTCTGATATGTTATAAAATGTTACATTACGTTATGATATGATTTGATCTGGTACAGTATGATTCAATTCGATTTAATTAGGTTCAATTTAATACCATATTATAAAATACACTTTATCGTCCCCTTAGGGAAATTCATCGTAGACTCGAGTGCTGCAGATGCTAAACTGCGCCAACAAATACATCAAATTAGTACAATATTATAAACCAACAGCTGTTAATACCTGTTACATAAATCACTTAGTTTTTCTAATTATGTTTAATAAGAGCAGTCTGCATTCAGCTGTTTTTCATTAGTTTTTTCTGTGAGCCGCCGACTACAGCGTGGATTAAAGTTTAAGAAAGTCATGAAACTTAATCAAAGCAAAAACTTTCCAACATCTCACAGCTAAGAAGGTGTCCTAACATGTGACCTGAAGCTCATTTCCTCCTTTAATACACTGGTCTGCTGTCGTCGTCAGCTGGTTACATGATGAGCAGGTTTTCTCTTAATGATCATTTTCTGCACCAGAACAACGTTTGACCGCTCCGCTCCTGTCTGAAAGTAAAAATCAGTCCTCACATGAGTTCATTAACCTCCTCACACTGCAGGGTTCACTCAGACTGTCTGTGCATTTGATGAATTTTCCATCCAGCATCATGCAGATGGAGGTCAAAGTGGGCGTAGATCACCCGACCTGCACCGGGTTGTTTACCTGCTGTATTGATTAGAGTAAAAACATGTAAATTTGATCCTCTCTCATCGGGGGGCTCGCTGTTCTTGCTGTTTGTGTTTGGGAAACAGAGACGAGGCTGGTATGCTAATGCCGGTTATTGCTCTTCCTTTGGCATAATTTGGTCAAAACACGGAGACATAAAGTGGTGCGATAGAAGAAAACCGTGTTATTCAAAACATGAAAGAGCAGCCTCCTCTGATTTTACGCCTCAATCCTGGAGTAACTTCAGAAATGAGCGTTTTAATGCTTTTTCTCTCTCAAAGCTTTAACAAACTCTGCAACTGCTTTACCTAAAGTGGATTTTAAATTATATATCTGTTGTTTTTTAGTCTGAATTGTTGAGGGTTTTAGTTGATTTTTTAAAAGCAGGGTGTGCGTTTACTCGACACCTGAAGAAACCTCGGGACATTGTGAGCAGGAGTGGAAAAATGAAAAGGGCTATTACACCAAAAAAAGTGAATTTTGGTCACAGGACAACACTTAAAAATTAATACTACATTAAAATAATCCAGTCTGTATATCTGCGCCTATATTTCTGGTACGTGTGACCTGAAAATTGGGTTGCAGGATCTTGCAAAAGCTTCTAAATATCTTTCCTCAGGTTTGCTCCAAAGGTTTTCATCCTTTGTTTTTTTTTCATAAGGATAATATTCACCAATTCTTACCATGATAAAGACTTCTTAAACTCTGGGGGCTGTGTTGTCAAATTAACGAAAAAAATATTTAAAAAATGAACATTTTTGTTGGAAAAAAAACAGTTTTTTTGCTTTCAGATCACTTTAGCGGTACAAACAGGAACAAAAGCATTATTCAGAGTCTGTAGAGATGAGGATATACTTAAGTATCAACACTTTGGTGCCTTTGTTGTTGTGCAGGCAGCTCACGGCTCTTTATAACATTGAGTCTTACTCAATGAAAGTCAAGGACCGAAATCTGAAAAGCAGGAAAAATAAAGGCATCAGCGAGTTGTTTTGTCATGTTTCTGAAAGCCTCATTGTGGCTCTGAACACTTCGGCACTCGAAGATCCCTGAAACTTTCTCTTGAATGAGCGTTGTTGTTCTCATGGATGTAGCCTGAGGAAACATCACACGGCGGTTTATGAGAAGGTCTTTATCTGATGGAAACACTGACCCTGACGAATCTAGGAACCAACAACCACCCACCTGTCAGTCAAACCAGACACACCTTACTCTCATTTCTTAACGCTGCCAAAGTCCGACTATGTTGCAGTTTGTAATTGCTTTGTGTCTGCCAGAGGAGCTCGGTCAGAAGAAGTAATTTAGTTACCTGGAAATGAAACCCCCTGAGCTTTAATTTAAGCTCTCCACTCTGAAAATAACCCTTCCTTGGCTGGAAGAAGAAAAGTTTTAAAAATCGAACAGAAAAGTCTAAATTTGAGTGAAACTTTCCAAAGTTACAGGTTAAAGTTTGACATGTTACCAAAGAAATACCGACACAGTCGGCGTTAAACATCCAGAGCTGAGGCAGCGGGTTGTTTCCTCCTCTCTGTGTGGCGCCTCGACCGGGTCGTGACCTCGCTGCTGAAAGTTCACCTCAGGCTCTCTCCGCCAGCTGTTCCTCTTGATGTTTTCTTCCCACCAAAAGACACAAGACCTTTGACTCCAACACTGACCAGAGGTAAAAGAAAAGTCTGTCTGAAAAACAGAGCAGGAATCTGAAAGAGTCACGGTAAAAACTGAGATGTGGAAGTGCAAACTGTGGGAGTGACGGTTAATTTAGGTAGGTGGGTAGTAGGGCTGAGCAATATAGGCTCAAATCAATATGATATATCGAGTAATTTACCAGGATAATGATAAATGGACGATAACTACTCCACAAGCTGCTCACCCCCTCCCACATTAACTTCGTCTACTTCAGCCGCTACAACTTTTGAACCGTCCGGACTCCGGATTACGGACTGGATGGGGTGGAGTCACGTCTCTGACAGCGTCTTAAAGGGACACGAGACCATAGCCTACCTACACACATCCAAGAACAACTTTTACTCATTTATTTGACATGGAATATACCGATATGGGCAAAATGATGTTGGTAATTGTCATAAATTTAGATATCTGTAAATTTTCGGTTTATCACCCAGCCCTAGCAGGTAGTAGGTGACTTTGAGAGGGAATACGTTTCTAATAGCTTCTAATAACCAAGAGTTTTATACCAGGGAAAGTTAAAACAGGGGCAGAGCCAAAGGGGTGGTCACAGGTGGCATGGGCCCGGGTGTGGATCCAGACCATCACCAGTATAAACACACATGGCAGCTGCATAGGCCTGTCACGATAACAAATTTTGCTGGACGATAATTGTGCTACAAATTATTGCCGATAAACGATATTATTGACACCATTTTTTAAATTATAGATAATGATATCATATGGCATAATAATGCGAGTACACCCTGTCAAAAGTGATAAACTTTAATTTCCACACGAGAACAACACTGGTTGTTTTCGTTGACTAAAATATTTCCCTTTTCTCCCACGACGAAGACGTAACGTTGACGAGCTAAACATAAGTCGGAGATGACTAAAATGTGACGAGACGAAAGTGCGTTTACGTTGATGGGACGAGACGAAAATGACGAACAGAGTTGCAAAACTCAGTCAGTTAAACGCTAAACATATAGGAGCAGCTTCAGTCCGCTCTGACAGCTCTCATCAGCCTGCTGTGCTCCTCCAACACACAGACACACATGCACGCGCGCGCACACACACACGTGGAGTTTTGTGGTTGACGAAAACAAAACTGGTTTAAAGCCGATATATTCCCACACTTGGGCTGTTGCGTTCGGTTTAGACACCAAAGCTGTCGTGTTCATTCTGTTTGCTTGCTTTTCACTCACGACGCTCACTTGCAGCACTGTATCCAAAAGTCTGTGTCTGTGTGCCTGTGCGCGCCAGCCCCCTCGTGACAAAGACACTGAATGACTGACAGGAGGGTTCACTAACTCCGTTCATTCCTCTATAGAGCCAACGCCCCCAGGTGCCGAGAACAATGCGCAGAGTGAGACCTCTTCTCTCATCCAGCGTGTTTGGTAGCGAGAGAGGAGGAAAACAAACGCACGTTAATTATCGAGGCTGGCAAAGTTATCGACCTCGTTTTTATTTATCGAGCGATAAGGCGATTTATTGATTATCGCGACAGGCCTACAGCTGCATGTATGGCTGTGTGGGATAAGGGCCATTTTCAGACAACAGCCACCTAGGGACTTTTACCCAAGGAATTACCCAGTTTCAACTATTAAAAGGCGAACACAGATTCGAGAAATTCTACGAGACGGATACGTGAATCGAAGCAAACCAAAATATATTCATAATATTAGATGAAAAAATAGTTGGAATAGTGGAAGTGTCTGCTGAAAAAAAACAAATGAGTTAGTGATGAATGTTTGAGTCTGTTATTGAATTAATTGGTTAGAAAAGTTTATTACTAATGATTCTTTTTAAACAATTAATCACTAAAACACTTCAGGACAGTTAAAACTAACAAAAGGGAAGGGGAGCTAACAAGAGGGAGGCAGTCTACGTGTCTAACCTCCACTGAGTTGTATGGGGATGAGAAAGAAAAGGTTACACAAAGAAATGATTAAAACTATTATATAAAAAAGTTTGTTCTGCAAAAATGGCTCTTTCATTAAAATCAAGGACTAAAATGCTGACAAAAAACAAACAAAATAAACCAAAGAAAATCTAAAAGACAAAAAAGCAGCTGATCGTGTCTGTTTAGGTACATTTATCCAGGTTTCCTCCAACCCACTTAACATTACTTGTATCGGAGGACGCCAACAGACAGGGAAAGGCGCAAAACTAAAAGAATAAACACAATTCAGCAAACTGATAAAAGGTCAGAACTCAAAATAAAAAGTCAAATATGATGAACCAGGTTTCATTACCTCTGTTCAGACCATGTGGCAGCAGCAGGCACAGACTAAAGAAAGTCAGCTCACCTGACACAGGTGACTTAAATAGGAGGGCGGGGGAAAGGGGGAGGAGTCAACCTAATTTTGGAGTAGCTGCACAGCAAGCAACCTCTGCCTCTGAGTCCTACCTGCTACACGTGTAAATAAGGAAGTGTAATGGAGCGATTTGTGATCGACAACGAACAGACTGCTTCCTGGTCGGAGCAGAGCTGCAGCCACTCTTTCCTCTCAAAGTTCCTCCAAAACAAAACGGTTTTAAACCTGTTTTGAAGGTTTAGAAGAAACCGTCAGTCTTGCCTCCTTTTTACGTCACCAAACCACTCTTAAACTCTTCACAGGAGCTTTAACACGAGTAGTCAAAGTAGCGACATGATGACGAGTGCTGACAGAAAGTCTGATTAAACACTTCATGCCGCCCCTGCATGAGTCAGCGCCCCAGTCGGAGTAAAACAGGTCTAAGGCCCTTACTCAAACCCGTCCCTCTGTACTCCCACTCCAGCCTGGAGGGCACTCAAGTCCAGAGCTGAACGGAGCGCACTTCATCAACGTGGAGGGATCTGATTCAGCATCCCGACGGCACCGAATCCGACCTCACCTCCGACACTTCTGCTCGGAGAAACTCTCTCTCTCCACTCAACACAAAACTCGCAAACAAGGTCGACTAAATATTCCAGCAAACCTTAAATTTTCAAAACCGCTTCATGACCCGGCGTGAGTCTCTGTCTGGGAGGGAGACGGAATACAAAACCCTTGGACCCTTGAGCGTCTGAAACTAAATGGAATGCAGCCGTTTATATTTTTCATCGAATCCTGCGAGACGTTCAAGGTCTCGAGCGTAAAAAGGTTTCTTGTCTTGTGGAGACTATTTAAAACTTTGAACATTTCAGTCGTTTTAAAATGTTTTAACACAATTAAGTTTTTATTATTTTCAGGTGGGAATTCAGCCTTACTTTAGTCATACCGCCCTCACTTTTTCTTCACTTTTCTTTTGACTTTGCTTTCTTGCGATCAGCTTTTCAAACATCTTTTAGTCGAAAGTTTCCACATTTTACATTATTTCTCTCGGAGTTATGAGCGTCTCTCTCTCTCTCTCTCTCTCTCTCTCTCTCTCTCTCTCCTCCATTTAATGTGTAACTATCTTTAAAGGCCACACTCATTTCCACCTACACAGATTTCATGCCATTATCACTTCTTTGCGAAACACTTCTTACCACTCCACCTACATGCTACAACAGATTTGGACTGTGACATATTTGAATGAGGCACCAGGAAGAGTTGTTAATTTCTCGTATTTGTAGTTGTGTGTTTAAAGCGAAGCTCCAGTCCACTCCGAGTGTTTCTGCAATCATTGCAAAGAAAATGTCATAAATTAAATCCCTGCACAAAAATAAAAAACACACATGAATATGAGACGGAGATATTTCTTGATTTTTCGAGAAACTCTGCATCAGCTCCCTCCTTAACCCTCTGCATATTTATACAACATAAAGGCTGATATATAAAGTCGAAGGTTTGAGTTTCTCAGCATTTCTCCTGGAACCTTGACAACTGAGACGTAACATATGGCCGGTCCATATGGATAGACAACAAAAACAAACAACACCTGTGGGATATAAACACTGCAGGGCGGATTCTTTAAAGCATCACTCATGAATTTTAATAAGCTCGAGTAATTAACATCAACTCGAGAGGAAAAAGAGAGTGACCACGCCCTGCTGCATGTCCCTAAATGCTGTTCTCACCTTATTTTAACTTAAAGACATCGACTAACTGGACTGGAAGACTGCAGAAGCACAAGTCTTAACTTTAAAGTTGTTTTTCTCCATCATCCTTACATTGAACGGAAATATGAGTCAATAAAAAACAACTTCTTTTGCAAATTGGGTTCGTATTAGTCTCCGATCGCCCAAGGCAATTATCAAAACTAGGATTTTTAGGGAACGCTCAGAAGTGGAAAAAAGCAGAATTTGACTTTTTTTGTGAACAGAGGATCAAATAGAGATGACTTCAGAGATTAAATGATTTTTAAAAGTCCCTAAAAGCCTCAAATCGAAGCCGTGTAAGAGCTGAGAACCAAAGAGTAACTCTTTTGAAAGCAGTACTTTGTGATTCAAAATGAGAGTCATTAAATCTGCCTGGAAAAAACTGAAACACACCTGCTATTAAACGCTAGCCTCTGATTCAGCTGGAAAAAAAAGAGCAGTGTGGAGGATTTAGAAATACAGACAGATATGATATTTGTGACCCTACAGGAGCAGCAGGTCACCGATCTGGTAATATTCGTGTTTTTGAAGTTGTGAGAAAAAAAACAGGAAGAAGAAGAAGATGATGATGAAGAAGAAAAGGTTGTTCTTTGCATTGTTTGACAGTTTTGATGGTAAAATTGACAAATAGACGATTACAGGAGCTTCTTGTCCTTCAGGGCCACCATCACCTCATAAAGGGGAGACGTGAGCATGATGGAGTCCATATTTTATTTGCGCAAATGTCAATAAAAGGGATTTCACTTCCTCCCCCAACCTCCTGAAACAAAATAGAGCCTATATAACACATACCTGCCAACATTCAAGTTAAAAAATCCAGGAGAGTTTTGCGGCGGAAATTTGAAGGATTATCTTGTCTGGTGGATATGAGCGAATTATGAGAGTATTTGTAATTTACTCTGGTAAGGTAACTAACACTTTTGTAATTTGATTTGATTTTTTAATTTATTTTTTATTTCATGGGTGCACGTGTTGCGCAGTTTTCTTCTTGTATTGTAATTATTCTGTGTAGTTTTTATTTTTTTTCAAATTTGGTTTCCATGGATACGTTAGAACATAGTCTTGTGACATCATTCCGTTGATGACATCATTCCGTTGATGACATCAGCGTGACATCATCATTCCTTTGATGTTTCAGCACAGGTTGAAGGGGAGGTCCAGATCTTTGGATGATTCTTAACATCCGATTCTTAACAGACGAGAGATTGAGGAGCTCAAGATGACTCATTCTCCCAGCAGAGATCCATTTCTAGCTGAGCTCCAACAAGAGATTGAAAATAGACGTCTCAGAGAGGAGCAGGAGGGGCTAAAACATGAACTTGAGCTTCACAAACAGCTGCCCCAAGAGATCGAGGAGCTCAAGAAGACTCTCAAGACCTTCAGTCTGGAAAAGGATGAGGCATTTTCTGGGCTTGAGGAAGCCAAAGAGCTTGAAGAGGAGGAAACGGGAGGCACCTCCTTCTGACCTCTCCTCCTCAAACTGAACTAACTTCCCTAATTACCCTCTTGTCCCAAATTCATACCTTTTCCATCATTTCGGGTTTTTCTGTTCAATTTTCATAATTGCAACTTAAAAAATAAATAAATAAATAAATATTAAAAAATAAAAAAAATCTTAGGGAGTAGGGAGACGTCCCTACTGCTAAACCCCACCACCCTGAGATGTTCCGGGAACAATGGGGCGAAACATCTGAGAAGGGTGGCTGTTATTCTCAGAGTAACAGATCACAAAAGGAAGCAAGTTATGCAGGACCTGGCGGAGGAGGCGGAGCAAGGGAGATCTTGGCTCTGACCTCGGAGGAAGGACAAGGTGTGGGGATAGCACGGATTCTAAGCAGGCTGCAGGGAGTGGTAGGTAGACGTCCCTTCCACTGCCCCACCACCCAGAGATGTTTCGGGAATAATGGGGCGAAACATCTGAGAAGGGTGACTCCCGGCTGATGACCCTGTAGCCTGCATCGTGGTGCTGTCTGAAGTGTGACAGGCAGATATGCCAAGCAGGTGGATCCACCTGTGCTCACACCCACATAAAGTGTTTTATAATATTTTTACAGTGAATGAATTGCTTGGCTGACCTGGTTGCTGACCTAAGAGCAGGGTCCAGTCCTGGAGACAACTAAGAGCCGATCGAGGAGCAGGCACTGAGAGCTAAGGTTCCGCCCCAGGAGCCGATCGAGGAGCAGGCACTAGGAGCTAGGAGGCATTTTCTGTTCTGACTAATATCCCTGATGGGAGATGCCCTCAAGATTCTCGCCTAAACCTCTGACTTCTCAAAACTCCACACAGTCCCCTCCCACAAAGAGAAAGTATGGGTATTTTACACATTCAGGAGGCCGTGATCGTATAGTGGTGAGTACTCTGCGTTGTGGTCGCAGCAACCCCGGTTCGAATCCGGGTCACGGCAAGAGTGTGAAGCTGACTGTGCTTTAGAGGATTTCCCAGTTTTGGATCAATAAAGTCTGTCTGTCTGTCTGTGTGTCTGTCTGTCTATCTTCTGAATCTTATGAGTCCCAGGAGTATTGCAGTTTGTAATTCTTCAATCCCTGATGTCCCTGGGTGACATATGGCCAAAAGAAAGTATATCATGTAGGCACAAATTTCAGGAAAATGTGTATTTTTTTGTGATTTAAAGAGCTCTAGTGACTTCCATGTTGGTCTAAGATAAACACATATAGGCTTAAATGAAAGCCACAAGGATCCCCTTTAAAATGATACCAAACAGTCTATTGTAAACCTTTGAGAAATGTCCCTGCCGTGAGCCTAAACCAGATATACATCAGTGTAAAAAAATCTCATTAATCTTAAGGGGTGGTTAACTTCATGAGCTGATAACCAATATTTAGCGGGGCACCTGGTTATCACACAAAAATATAATCTACAGACATGTGTCTGTACCTTATATTTGCCACCCTGAGGTGTACCAAATATCTGTCGGGCCCATGGACTATTTGGTGAATGTGATGATGCAGATAAATGTCCTCTGTAAAGATGATCGAGGTGACTGATTAAACGTGTACTGCACATGTTTATTTTTCTATGGCTTTAAAGGCAGAGAACAGATTATCTGAAGGAGGTCATTATCGATCCCTCTTCGATTAAGTAGCTGTACTGTAGTACAAACTCTGCCCACAGCAGAGAACAGCTCAGCTTCTGTTTTAGTGCTGAATGCAGCTTTTACAAACTGACGCTGTGCTAACCACCAACATCTGCAGATAACACACTGACTTTTTATAACTACCCCAGACAACCTCACCTGAAAGAAAAAAGATCTAATTATTTAAGTATTTAGAGGTTTGTTTTTTTAACGAGACTCTCTCTAATGTTGAAAAATACAAGACTGCAGTTCCTAAAGTGTCCACTTGAGGCCGACTGCAAAATCAACAGATACCCCTTTGACACCCATCGTATAAATGCTCATCTTTACAGCTAAAATAATCATGTTTACAGTCTGGAGAAAGTGGCTGTGGTATGAAAAGCACATCTGTCTCTCTTAAAACTGAGTCGTTTCGGGATGTTAAGGTACAAGCTAAGATAAGATAAGATGTTCCTTTAATAGTCCCATGAGGGGAAATTCCAAATTTACAGCAGCATAGTAAAGATACAAATGGAGAAAAAATTAAAAGTTCTGCATAACTAGGACTTTGCATTTCTCATATGGTGACTGCCAGTGTTCAGACTTATAAAACCCTTAATTAAATTGCTCATCCAAATAAGTCTAAGTGAAGCTGCACACTTTTGTTTTGCTTTAACAATAACAAATCATAATAAAAGAACAATAATAATAGCTACAATATGCCTTGAACTTATTTATAGTCCACTAATATTGGTGTTAAAGTCCTCATATGTTTGACATGCTCTCCTATATGAGGTTCTCTGAACATCTGTGTGTGAAATACAGAACTCTTTTATCTGAGGCTGCCCTGAACGCATCACCCCGAGACGGTACAAGACTATCAACATGAATATTGTATCTCGTGTTTGTTTTCCTTTCTTTACAGCTTTAAGTTTACAGCTTAAACCGACCTGAATCATTCCAAACTGTAAAGTAAAAGTATCAATCCAGAGTCTGTGAGGCTCAGCAGAAACACAGGATGATCTAAAGTTGTCTGGAAACTTTGGACAAATATCGTGATCCGATTCATAAATGAAGTTGGACCATCAAACTACGAGAGATTCCCGGAAGAAATGACAATACTGGAGGTGAGCTGGAGATAGGTCTGAAATACGGGAGAGTCCTGGGAAAAACAGGAGTGTTGGCAGGGACGCCCGCGCCTCTTTTTGGATCGGGTTTGTTCAGTTTTAGAGAAATAACAGTCTTCTTGCGGATGGTCTTGTTTACTGTTGTTGGTATTTGTTGAATTTCGGTACCAGCTGGAAACTCCTCAGTTGAAACACAACCTCTAAAATGTTTACCCTCCAAATCTCTTGTTAAATTCCTTCTTCAAAGTCGCCTTTGTGTTTCAGAACAGACTGAACATTTTTATTTTGACTTTCTTCACCCAGTGATCTTGTTTCTTGGTCCTCATATCGCAGTATCTCAGTCTGGAGCAGGTAAAATTAATTCAGCAGTATGGTTTATTCATCGTTGTTATTTTCACTGATGATTGGTTATGGTAACACTTCAACAATCTTCGTTTGTCTGGAAACTTTGAACAAACATAGTGATCCGATTCATGAATGAATGTGGACCATCAAAACACGGGAGATTCCAGGAGGTTGGAGGGAGATGGGTCTGAAAAACGGGAGAGTCCTGGGAAAAACGGGAGTGTTGGCAGGTAAGATATAACCTATACTGAAGCTCATCAGGTCTGGACTAGAATATCTCAAAGTCCTGGATCTGGACCTCTTTCACTCTATTTGTGAAAATGCAAAAAAAAAATCCTGATCCTAAGTTCATTCAGACGCCATTATGGCTCCTCTAGAGGTACAAAGACTGTGAATCAGACACTGCACCGTGACCCCAGAGTCTCCTGACGTCCCTCCATCACAGCCACACCAGGAGCTGTGAACCAGGATCTCACTTCTGCTGTTTCAGGTCAGTGAAAGGTTTTTTTGTGCTCTATATGAAGAATAAAAACAATAAGAATCAAACATGCATGACTCCAAACCGGACTATCTGAAAGTGAAACAGCTTCTTTGATTGCCACGGCTCAACTGGTGTATCTGCACCTAAGGACTGAAGGCTTCCTACCAGCTCTCTGTGATACATTCACACCTATTCATTTCACAGCACAGCGGGCTCTGAGGCACATTTGGTCCTGACATAATCTCACTGACATGACTGTCACAGACTGTACTTCATCAGACACACACACAGAGAGACTCCTCCGTCAGGGTGATGAAGAAGGAGAAACTTTCCTGTAACTGTATTAAAAGAAAAGCCTGAAAACTTTGTGCTTTAATGAACTCGCTAAATAGCATTTAAATGGCGTCTCCTCCTGGATGGTTTCTTCATTTGCAGACAGTACAGAAGCGAAATGAATAAGAAGGCAAATTCAACGTGTGAACAAAGTCATCAATCTTTGTGATTGTGTTTTATAAAAGAGGAACGTTAAGATTTTAAAGCCATAAATCATGGAGTGTTAGAGACACTGCACCTCTTACTTCTTCACTTTTTAGTGAATATCTGAGCGTCGTTCTCTCAATAAAACCAGCATCTGCTCTGTTCTCAGGAAAAACGACTTGATTTCTCGGCCCTTCTGCAGGAACAAGGACTACAGGACCCATTAATGCAAGTATGATATGCACGGCTGGGTAAATGACAGGCTGCATCACGTTACATTTTTCCCTTCAAGGGACAAATGAGCGTCTCCGGGGAAGCACTCTTATGCAAATGAGTGGCAGATATGTCTCAACCACAAAACAAATTAGCGACACATCTATCACCGCATATCTATCCTCAGTGGGGCTCTGGAACGGGAGACGTACTCTGTGAGGAGCGTATATATTGAGATCAGCTGGCAAAGCTCTATAATTTATAGACTCAGCAAGTCGAGAGCCAGCGCAATCATTCTTATGAGACTGATTCCAGCAATCTATCAGGAGCAGCCGAGCCGGTCTGGAGCAGTTTTTAAAGCCTGTTTGTGTGATAGATCTCAGGAACAGGGGAGCGCCTCGCAGGTTCAATAACCCGCCGGCTGAGTTGTTGAGAATTTCAGGGTGTTGAGCTGAGTAACAGAGGTGAGAGCGATCAGCAGAGAGACTGAAGACAACGCTGGTCCTCCTGCTCGCCATGACGAAACCATGATGGAGGAATTAATCTGGATCCAACAGTTATTATTATGAAAGTCCAAAAAATGGGGCAGTGTATGTGTGATGGGTTCCCAGTTACGGGCAAAAATATCTGGTTAATTTTCAAAATAAAAGAAAGTCAATACTTTGAACTGTTCTTAGCTTGATAACAGGAGAGGCCAGGGATGTGGGTGTTTATTCACACCGCCATTTATATACACCGATCGGCGGATCTCAGTCAACGTCTCACGGGGAAACCTGTGAGATCTCGCGAGACCTACTGGTATTAATGCAAGAGCTTCTCCTCCGATGGTGGCGCTATATGCTTGCGTATTTGATCCGCCTGCCAGTCCAGAGCGGAGCCGTTCCAGATCCAGTGGAATTCCCAGTTTAGTCTGAGTTAGAAGAACAGTTCTTTTGACTGTACTGAATCTTTAGAATCGGTTCATTAAAATGATTCGTTCAGAAGATTCTTTCACCGAATCAGTCAGTGCTTCGTCCTCCCGTGTGCAGTACATGAGTGAGTGACACATTGGGAGTTCGTTCATTGAACAAGCCCCTCCCCTCCCCTGCTGCTGAAGTCACTGCGTCGATCACTCGGTGACACACATCATTCATTCGCAAAGTCATGAAGGAAGAATCACTCCCCTTACCCTGAAAAACTCATTTCTCGCCGACGTTCGCATTGCGAGGTGAGTGGAACAACACAGCAGCAAGCAGCACGCCTGCTAAACGAGCGTGAGTCGTCATTCTTTCATATCGTGGAAAAGCGGAGAGATTAAAAATAAATATGCAGCGAACAAACCAATGCTCGACAGTTCCTGAACGACACTGCTCTCCTCTCTCCTCTGCCTGCCTTAAGTTGTTTGGAAGTCGTTCGTTTCGTTCGTCAGTCTGACTGATACTTGTCGTTGATTTACTATGAGCAAATCACGAGACTCCGCCCACCCACTTGCTTGCTGGCTGGCTGTGTGTTGTCAAAGAGTCAAAGGCAGCAGTTCCACCCCCAACCGGCACGCCAGGCTCTTGGAACGAAAGGAACGAATCAGGTCTTGGAGTGATTTCGTTCACGTTGTTCACTCAGCAGTTCCGTTAATTGAGCAAATCGTTCAACGACACATTACTAGTCCGAGTCATGGCGGCTCGACAGTCCGAGTCCCATTTGTGGCCAATGTTTGCACTCTTCTACACCAGAGAGCCATGCGGTTGTGATCCCTGCAGGATGTGGTTTTTCATTTTCCATTAAAAACAGTTTTTATCCAGATTGTAGATCTAAATCCAGGAATTAAAAGGGTTACTGCGCTCTGCCTGTGAGAGTCTTGATGACTAAAAAGGGTTATAATTGCTGCCGCAGTGTCCTGAAGGTCAAATCTGTTGAACTAAAAGTGTTCAGTTTGAAACTGAAGAGGTTTTCAATCTGACATCTTTCAGACTCTGACAAAAACAGCAGTTTACCTGGAAGGACACGAGGTTTTCAGTCTCCTGCTCCGTCTTCCTCACAGCCTGTTATAAAAATGTGAAGTTTGATCTGGACTCACCCCTCGATACGCCGAAGTCTCACAACAACATGACACTCTATAGCAGAGATTTATGTCAGCTGTTAACCACACGGCAGCTCGTCTTTTGGGATAAAATGACTATTTTTGTCGGTGGAGTCTGGTGGCGGTGAGGAGGTGATGTAACATCAATTTCTTTAAGAGGATGTTACACAAACGCAACAGACGAAACGGTCTATTTCTGCAGGGATCATTTTAAAAATATTAATAATCTGAATATTTCAGCACCTTTAAGGACGAGTTTGAAGGGATGGTTGAAGTAAATGGTTTTAAAGGTTCACTGTGCCCATCAGTATCCAGACGAACAGAAACAGAGGTCCAGTTTGATGCTCAGTTCATGTGTATTTATGTCCTCCCGCCTAACCGAGCCGGTCCTGAGCAGCTCTAAAGGCTGTTTGTGTGATATATTTTGGAACAGGGGGGACGCCTCGCAGATTCAATAACCTGCTGGCTGAATTGTTGAGAATTTCAAGGTGCTGAGCCGAGTTACGGAGGCGAGAGCGATCAGGGCTGCATGCTGGCGGAGAGATTGCAAACAATACCGGTCTCTCTCCCTGCCATGGGACAAAAACCTGGATACAGAAATGTAGCAGAGCGCTGAGCACACAATGTGGAATTTAAACGAAAGTGAAATATTTCAGGGTTTAATATCTGTTTACCCCGGCCTGTGGTTTTATCTCTCTGTTTGTTTGTTTTTTGCATGAATATTCTATACACTTTGATATTCTGCCATCTTTTATCACACACAAAAACATCACGCAACATGAAGCAACCGGCAGAAATCCAGCCAGCATCACTTGATCTTTCTGCGTACATGGTATCTGCTGACGGCGAACACTTAAAAACGGTGATGAAACAACGTCACAGAATCTTTAAAGGTTCAGGTGATCGTCGACACGTGAACTGTTGTTGTTTCCTGACTCAGGACAGAGTTTCAACATCATCCTCATTACCTCCCTTTAAAGCTGGAGTCTTTTACACGTCGGCCGCTCCACGAGAGCTTGTCAGAGTGTTTTTTATCTGAAATGAGGCGCTCTTTGAGCTCCATCAAAGCACGTCAGCGTGTAAACTCGGGATACGTCTCAAGTGACAAAAAAGCTCTATTTTTAAAAACAGGAGGTTTTTATGGACCATCAGACAGACGATCCTCCACATTTATCTGCACTTTCATTTCATCATCATTCAACGGAGAGGCTTTCTAACTAATGATTTCTGAGATCAGACTCAACATCGAGTACACTTAACTTCAGTCAGCCAATCACTGTTGGCATGCCAGGGACGCAATTAGGCCCCAAAATGTAATCTGGCTCTCCAAATGAATGATTAGCAGAGATCAAATATGGAGCTAATGTCCTGATGTAAAACCAATCCACCGCAGAGCCGCGTGACTTTTACTGGCGGTGTGGCGGTCGAATCACCTCGTATTTCTGCTCGCATGAAGCGCCCGAACATGCCGGGTGTTTCATATTAGAGGTAAACGTGATTATAAAGACGTTTTTTAGACTCTGGCTCGTTTATGTTGCTCTTGCAGCACCAAATCCCACTGACAAAAACCTTATTTTAAGTGTTTTTTAGTCAATGGTTTGAGAGTCGGGTGACATTCATCAGAAAAGGTCGATCTAACGCCAAGAGTCGAACCTGAGGACTATCTTTGGTGCAAAACCAGCGCCCAACAACTAACTGATTTAAACCTGCAAACAGAGATTTCTAATTGGCTCCAGTCTGGGTTTTTGTGTGATGATGTGGTGCAAATGGTTTGTGTTAGCTCCGTTTAAAAACACTTACCATATTTTTCGGACTATAAGGCGCACTCAAAATCATTAAATCTTCTCAAAATTTGACAGCATGCCTTATGTATGATTATTTGTGCTAACTGAGCGATTTCATGTGTTACAGTCTGATTTCATAGTACAATGCGCTCAAAAAACTGTCGAAATGCCTAAGTACGACTTTGGTAAGCAATGATGGATATTCGGAGCAGTATGGTACGCTTTGTCAATACCTGATTGGCCCTGTAACAGGACCTCTGAGCAGTCTACAAGACTGCCTGACTGTTATGTCTTAACTAGAAGTGCATTCATGTAAGGCAGCCCAGACGCAGAGTATGCGCTACCAACAATAAACCAATAAATGTTCAATGCGCCTTACAATCCGGTGCGCCTTATGTGTAAAAAAACACGTTGATTCACAGTGCGCTGTATAATCTGGTGTGCCTTATCGCCCGAAAAATACGGTATATGTAACGCTCTTTTATGTTGCTCTTGCAGCACCAAATCCCACTGACAAAAACCTTATTTTAAGTGTTTTTTGTTCTAATTTGAGAGTCAGGTGACCTGCATCAGAAAAGGTCAATCTGATGTCAGAAGTCGAACCTGTAACCGCTGCATTGAGAACTTTCCTTCTATCTGATTTGAACCTGAAAACAGAGATTCCCAGTTTGCTCCAGTCTGGTTTTTGTACGATGGTCTTTGTTAGCTCCATGTTGAACACAAAGACTGTTCATAATTATCCATTAAAGGCAGATCTGTGTTTTTAGTGTTTTATGTCGTCCCTGTCAGCTGACTGATACTCAGTGTACCGATGTATTCTGACTGAAAAGTACACACTGTTTGAGTCTTTGCAGTTTGGTTCAATTAAACTTTTTCAAACAGATTTAAAATGTCAGGAAAAAGGCCAGACTGCAGACTTTACTGTGATTCATGCAAAGCTGCTCAGCTGAATCCAGAATCAAAACTATATAGAGCTGAAAATGAGCTTTAAAGATCCTCTTTGAGATGTCTGAGGACCTGTGGAGCCGTAAGTATTCTTCATCCACTTATGTCTATCAGTGGAAAATGGCTCTTTTGATGTGCACCTGCTTTCACAGGCTCGGTCCAATTTTCGGTGAGTTTTTGCAGACTGCTGTCTGTGTCCAAACTCAGCAGGCTCTGCAATCTGCTGAAAGTAGTCTGACCTTCAGCTTCTGCAGGTAACACGCGGAGCTTCCAGCCAACTCCAATGTAAATCCACTCCAAGCAGAGACCGAAGCTAAGAGCGGGAGGTCATGATGTAACACGTTTTTAAGTCCCAAATGGCGGCTGTTCGCAAAATGGTACAAACTCGCGCTGTGTCTGTGACGAAGACGCGACCTTTTCACACGCTGACGTCAATTTCTGACGCAATTACTGTGAAAAAGTCCAGATCAAAACTTTCATTTTTCTCCTCACCAATCAGTGGACTTTAATCCTTTTTCATTATAAACTCAAACATGTGAGTTCAGAGCACTTTATTTGATCAGCGTCTTTGTGGCACAACCTGAAAAGGTAATCCTCAAACCATGGTGAAGAATAGGAGGGTTTTCATCATGTTACATGACTTTACAGGACCTGTTTGGAGTCTAGTTCTCAGTCTAGGGGCTGATTTTTGACTCTTATCTGTCACGTTTAAGAAGTTGAACAAAAAATAAAAGGAGCCAAAATGCAGAACAACAAAAAAGAGTTTATTTTTAAGGAACAAAAACACAACACACCACACACATTCACAATGAACCAACAAAGAAACAGGGGAGGACAAGGACGAGAGGCAGGCGAGACACAAGACACAGGTGCAGACAATCACAGAGGAGGGAAAACTGAGGAAGTAAAACAAGACGAGAAACACGGGGTATAATATCCTACAAAATAAAACAGGAAACACTGAGAACAGGAGGGAACTGGGGTCTGACACAAACCGAAAACTCACAAGACTGGACTAAAGGGGAACAGGAACAATAGAGAATCAACTCAAAAGACCAAAACCAGGAGAAAACTGAAGACCAGAACATATATCATGATATTATCCAGGACCAGAGAGGATCTCACAGCCTGGTTCTGTTCATCGAAAGTTGAATTCTATCGAAAGTATCTTTGAGTTTTATAACCCGGTTCTCCTCGGCGTATTGAGACACACTCTGACTTTATAATCCTCAAAGTACCGTGGTAATAAAAGGCCTGAAGGTAGTGGTTGTTACAGCCATATGCTCCTGATTTACTCGGTTATGTCATCCGAAAGTCTCAGTCCTCTTCTTCTCTTACGTAAATCCCTCACAGCGACTCCAAACCTCCCGTGGAGATCCCTTCTGTGCGAACCTGCAGCCATACAGTTTAAGAAGAATTACTCCTTCTTCTTCTCTCGGCCGACCTTGTGTTCCCATCGCTGATGTAAGCCCCCCACCTCCACCTCCACCTCCCCACCGTCCCCTGACAGTCCCGGTTTGTTGTGCAATCTGCATGTGGGTGGACCTGACACTTCCAAGGACCGCCGATGACACCAGCCTCGGGCGGCATCAGGCCTTGTTAAACTCAGGAGTTACGCGCTACAAAAAAAACCGCTGCCTCGGCCTAATTGGATTTCTTATCTCGGCTGGCGGCGTACGGACACGGCTATGATACAGAGGAGCAGGGGAAGGGGGGCGTTTAAGAGGATAACAGAGAGCCGTTTAGACCTCAGCGCCCAGACGTCGGGGGTCAGACATGGAGAGATTATGGTTTTTGTGCAACACAGAGGACTTTTAGCGTACTTAATCCCGGCTATGATCCCTGCTTATTTGACTGATTTCAGACTCAGGTTGACTGTGAGCGGAGGGCAAACATCAGGCAGGGCTGCAGCTGAACCCTCGGGGTGTCAGAGCCTCCAAACCTTCGCATTCGCACAGAAATAATGAGAGATGTTTCCACCCGGTTCAGACGCAGGCTTTCGAATGCAGCTCAAGGACTTTTTTTTCCCTAAAAGCGAAAGAACGGGCTGTGAAAGAGAAATGCAGAGAATGTCTTTTCGCACGTAGCAGCACACCAGGAAAAAAAAAAAAGAGAATGAGGCTGAATATCCTCCAAGAACATAATTCAAGCCCTGTTTATTGTCACCGTAACACAAAGCAGAGATCATAAAAGCAATTTCTACCAGTCTGTTCCTGTTGAATACTGCGAGCTTTTATATTTGCTCAGCGCTCAGAAAGTTGAGATATATTTCTCACAAGTTTACAGTTATAGCTGCTTCTTTTATCCGTCTGCGTTTGTCGGTAAATCAGACCGTAAAGAGGAATACAATAAAACCCAAACTCTAAACTTTCACTGTGAAGATGCTGTTCTCATCGCAGCCATTCATAAAAAAAAAATTACCATTGATTTTTGTCTGAAAACAAAACTGTTCAGGATAACTCCGACTCCTTTAGCAGACAATGAAACTCACAAATATCCCAGAAGAAGAAGGAGATCAATGAAACTGAACGAAAATGTAGGATTACGGCTGTGCAGTGTGAGAGATTTGTGTCTTTTTGAGGTTTAACACGACAGAAAATTCAACCTTTTTCTCTTTCTTTGAACAGCGCTGCAACAAATTGAGTCCACAGAGGGTGAGGGATGTTGCTAGGTGACTAAATTTAAAGTCAGTGAAACAGGAAGTTAAATTATGTCCAGTGGACTCGAACTGAAAACAGACAAAATCCAGCACAATTTTTTTTTAAAACATCACAAGTCAGAGAGTCTGAAAGGGAAGGATTGTGAGGTCGGTTTGAAGAGAGCGGCTAACATTAGCAGAGCTAGCACCACCAGACTTCAGACTTGCTTGTCTACATCTAGATAGTAGATCATCCAGTTTATACACAACACAAAACCTGCACAACCTTCACTGAGCTGTGAAGACCTGCTGTTCTCGTCTTTCCTTTTAGTCAATCAGCTGTTTCCTCTTTATTGATCTTCATTGATTTAAAGCAATCACAAAACCCCAAATGAACATCTATCCATCAAAGGGACAGTTTGTTTATAAATCAGTGATTTATAATGTTAAAGTGGAACTCTGATTTTTTTAAGTGCAGAGATTTAAACAAATGAATTGATTGTGTGTCTGTTCCCATCAAGAGGGTTTGACTGATGACCCCAGTGAGCCTCTGAGCGGGACTGAAAGGTTGTCGTGAGGAGTTCAAACCACAAAATGAAGGCTGACAGTGACAGCTATGAATAAATATTTCAAGAAAACGGTTTATTTAACAAAACGCTTCATGTCTGAGAATATTCAACACAAACATTCATCAGTTCATCTATTATTTCATCTCAACTGACAAAAATGTGGTTCTTTCAGTTCTTCATGCTGCGTACTGCAACAGGTGTCCCCCAAGGCTCTGTTCTGGGTCCTCTGTTTTTTTTGATATGACATCAGTGCAAAACTCCTGCATCAAAATTCATCACATATTCTTATCTGTAGTGTTTATGACCTCTGCATGAAAAGATACACAAACCTTATTATAAGGGATGGGAATTGATAAGATCTTATTGATATTGATGCCATTATCGATTCTGCTTATCGATCCAATTCTTTAACAATTCCCTTATCGATGCCTTTCTTTGATTTAAAAAAAATCAGACTATAGGTTTTCACCATAAACTCAAAATGTTCTGGGTCCTCTGTTTTTTTTTTTTTTACTGCTCCTTTTTATTCTTAATACTAATTATATTTGATCATTACAGCAGAATACGCTCCGTTTACAGGATGAAGCATATAACTGTGGAAAGCAATTGTAGGTAAGATGATGCAGAAAATGTTGCACAGACAGAAACGAGTTTAAAAACAGTCAACAGCAGAAAATCCATTTTTATGTGACATGTTGGTGCAGACTTTTTTTTCACTCAATTTTAACTTTATCGAAATCAGATTAGTGACTTTCACTGAACTCTGAACAACCTGCCCGGCCATCTGTGCTAAAACCCCAATGTGAGTGTGATGCCAAGTGATCGTGTTCGTATTTAATCCAACAAGAGAAACTCATGAAGAGGTTTCAGGGGGTCAGTCGACAACATTAGAGAGGAATCCTCCAAATGAACCTTCAAAACCAGCAGGTGAATGTCTGAAGATGAGGAAACGTGTTCAAGTTTAAGACCCCCCAGTTTGATGAATCCCATAATTCCCTCCATCTGAAAACCCTGGTGGTCTGATGGCCATCCTCCCTAAACCACAGTCCACTGCCTTTCATGAGCGCCCTCTTCCTGCAGCTTTATTGACCGATCATCTCTGCTCAACACCGGCTCCATAAACACAGATGAAGAGCTGGATCCAGCTCTGGGGTCACGGAGGAGGTCCCGGCTCCGGGAGCACACACGGCGGAGGGGCTGTGAGCAATAAGTGACGATGCTGATGAAGTCTCACAGCTTTGAAACCAGAACTGACAAGCACACGGCGAGCACAATATGCACCTGTCTGAGTCGCTTAAATGTGAATCTAACTGTCTGAAATGGAAAATACAAAGATCCGCGTCTGAATTATTCCTTTATCTGATTTGTTTTAAACTGGTTCTAACCCTTTAATGCTTTTTCTATCATATTTGATACATACTTTTATATACTTCTATCAAATTAATATGATCAACAAAGTAGTAAAAAAAATCGGAATACAGTCCGATAAATGATAAAAATGTCCTCTTGTGGTTTATCAGTTTCCAAAAACATCTAATGTATCAAACGAGATAAATAAATATATTTATTAAATTTTAAGGACATTTAGATTTTGGGGTTTTTAGTAGTAAGTAAAATAAACATTTCAGCTGTATGACATCAGTGCAAAACTCCTGCATCAAAATTCATCACATATTCTTATCTGTTTTGTTTATAAATACAACCTCTGCATGAAAAGATACACAAACCTTATTATTAGAGATGGGAATTGATAAGATTTTATTTATATTGATGGCATTATCGATTCTGCTTATCGATCCAATTCTTTAATAATTCCCTTATCGATGCCTTTCTTTGATTTAAAAAAAATCAGACTATAGGTTTTCACCATTAACTCAAAATTTTATCGAGACGGAGCAGCAGCAGCTGACAACCGGCGGGGAGCATCGAATACAGGTGACTCCTTATATTTGGTGCCTTTCCCTGTTGACTAATGTTGAAGCAGGTTGCTGGTGTTTCCACCTTTGGATGTAATCACTGCTCGACAAACATTGCACGTTTGCGCTGTTTTCGTCTTTCGTAGTACAACGAAGCCAACTTTAGATCGTTTCTGCCTACTTTTCGTACTGTCCGCCATGTTTTTTTCCTCGTTCGCGTAGACCGTTTTTTTAAGGCATCCGGAAGAAAGGAATCGTTAACATAAATGTAAACGATGTTGACGGATTGAACCATTTGGAACCGGTTCTCGATTCCCATCCCTACTTATTATAAATGTGCACAGTCTATAATAGTTCCATTATGTGACATATTGTTAGATTTAAGCTGATATAAAGTTGATTAACATTTATGATTGATTTTAAGATAAAAATCACTGTTATGTGTCGTTGTTGTGATTATTTTCAGTTATTGTGCAAATTTCAGATTTTTTTCCAACCTTAAATTGCATTAACTGCATTAAAATATGTGCATTTTAATATTTTTTAAAGCATATTTTATTTAATGTATGACTCAAAGCATATTTTTCAGTATTTCTACTTTCTGGTTGTTGTTTTTTTTCTGTTCTCCTCATTGTTTCCCTGAGAGTAATGTGACCCAGCTTCCCTCCTCCTCCTCCTCTTCCTCCCCAAGGGATCAATAAAATAATTTCTGCTCCTGACTGTGATTGCACCTTTTTTTCCCCCTATCTTTCCTCACATCTTTCATCCAAACTTAAACTCTATTAAACCCAAACACTCAGCCTGGTATTCCACATGTGTTCGTCTTTTGGGATGCTTGAGGAGAGGATCGATACGTTTTTGCCCCAAGCTGAATTTCTCTGGTGAGACTTGGAGGTTGAAAAGTGATGCAGAACCCGCGGCTAAATCGATACGGCTGTTGAGTCACACGCACACACGCACACACATAAAGGTAACTGCATGTGGGGGGAAAAAAAGCTTGTGCACACACACACACACACACATACACACCTACGATAATTCACACTTCCTCTGAGCAGGTTTTGGGAGCACCATGAGGAGACGATGCGGATGCTGCAAAGACCTTCCTCGATCGTGACTTGGAGCAGGACTCACCACCTGTCCCCTCACTGGTTCAAGTCCCCTGAAAACAAACATGCTCCCCGCTGATCCTCTGATCTGGTCCCTATACAACAGGTCTAAATCAGGCGGATCTCTCGAGACCACGCAAGGCTAAAGTTAAGCAACTGATGCGCAAACTCAAGGCACTAATAATACAGATTGTGCGCCGCTTCGTTCCCTGTCAGCACGTTCAGGTGAGGCTAATATAATAATGAGGACAAAGACGTGAGATGAATAAAATCTCGACACTGCGCCAATTTGAAGCTCCTCATCAAACACATTCACACAAACACAGCCAGAGGAGTCCGGGTTCCTCTCTGTTTTAAAGTCCAAATTCAACATTGTGCACGCAGGAGTCATCACAGGTTTAGACGCACACTGCTGACATGCATGTCGCCAAACATCTCCAAAAGCGCTGTGCGTCAATGCGCATCCCTGAAGTTTCTCACCAAGAAGTTCACCACAGCGAGGACGAAAAAGGCGTTTTTAATTCTTACCTTAATGGTCTTTGTAGATTGGCATTTCACCTGATGCGATACGGTGGCCGTTTGGTTCATCTTGAGATGCCGATACAAACAATCCTCTTATCCAAAATGAGAGAAAACAGCGCAGGAGAGAAGCAGAGCGAGTCCCCTCCACAACCTTTACAGCATGGGATGGAGTGTTTTCAGGCTTTGTTCGGGTGAAGCGCGCAACCGCATCTGACAGATACTGTATGTGGCTGCTGGCGCGGAGGAGCGCGATAGGCATGTGCACAAATGACCGGGGATGATTGGTGGACAGGGGCGAGCGCAGGAATTACTGAATGGGGTGGCCAGGTGATAGTAAAACCTCAGATACGGTTTTAATGCGAAATGCCACAGGGGTAGATAAGTGCTGACAGCAGCTATAACAGCTGAATGTAGAGGCAGGCACACACACACACACACACACACACACACACACACACACACACACACACACACACACACACACAAATACCATCAAATCATTGTACTACAGAATCTAAATACACACCTCACACTTACACACACTCACTCATAAACACACACACACTTGGCGATGCGTCTAAAATAACTCCTGGTATTGACGCATGACTTAATGAAGTTGCAGCAAGGACAACCCAAATCCGGCCCCGAGGGGGAAAACTGTGAGGAAGAGCGGCTTATGTCCTCCTGATATTGATCCCAAAATCATTTAAATCTTTCAGGTATTCAACACAAGATCCCGACAGGAGAATCCCGACTGCACTAAACTAAACAAAATACAAGTACACTTCAAATACTTACGACATGAACAGAGGCTGAATGAGATCAAAATATACATTCGTAAATGATACAAACAACAGCGCTGACACGCATCCACGGAGTCACATTTGGATGAGGTGGTTCAGCTTACATTACTTTTATGAAAATGATCCACTCTTTGTTTATTTATAGTTTTAATAAGCTTTTGTGCATCCTGGCAACCTGCGTGCCAGCGGAAACATCGTTTCCCCTCGCAGATCACGACTCAAACCAGGAAAGTAATTCTGCTGACATTAACTTTGTTAAATTATTTCAGGGTGTGTATAAGTACTTTTTAAACATTTTTAACATATTTCAACAATACCATGATAATATCGATAACCCTGATAGTTTTGGTCACAATAATCGTGATGTTGAATTTTCATATCGTTACATCCCTACTTTAAACCTTTGGACAGGAGTGGAGTCTATTAACAGTGGACCCACAACAGAGCCTTGAGGAACCCCTAATACGACTCATATGACACTGAGTAGACATGAGCATGATATGTCAAAAAAACAATAAATAAGGTTTGCTTTCTTCACTTTGCATCAAGAAATAGAAAAGTAAATTAGCCATGTGCCTATTTTATTTTAGAGGAGGGGACCACGTGACTTTGCTTTTAGTTTAAAACCATAAAATGTGACCTTTTCAATATTCAATTTACAATAATAACAGGAGGAAAGAGCTAAATGAAAAAGAAAAACATCCCATTTATTTATTTGATTCAGACTGTAAAATGGTTTTACTGTTTGTGGTTTTGGGACTAAAAAAAAAATAATTAACAGTTTTTTGTTTCTTGGACCACGAATGAATTAGAAATGATCCAGTAACAGCCTGGTAGAATAAAAGGCTCATTGTAAGAAACTAAAACCAAAACAGCTTTTATAATCCGGAGATTCAACATTTAATTCAGCACATCTACTGAGTCTGTTCTACAACCTCAGGGACATTTTAAGAGCAACAATCATGCATGAACTTACAGATTTATAGTGAGTGACTGAGTGTATTTTACAGGAGGCTATAAGCCCACCTCAGCTCCGCCTCAGCTCCACCTTAGCTCCGCCTCTTTGCCCTTTTTTGCCCTTTTTAAAGTCTGTGGTTGCTCCCTTCCTCTCTACCTCTTTCTCCACCCTGAGTGAGTCAGTGAACCACTTCCCTGCGTTGTTATTTCTTTGTCGGATAATTTCACATCTTGCTCACTCTCACTCCAGCATCAACTCCCAAACTAAGCTCTGCGGCAGTTTCACTGTCGTAACCACCAGACGACACCATCTGCTTTCTCTTGCTCCTTGAATGTACAGAATGAGTTCCTGTTTATGGAGCATAATAAGATCAAATGCAAATTAGGCCAGCTGCTTAATGCACACCATGTAAGCTGAATGTGAAATAGATCTGACACAGGACCTCACAATTATGTCAGACTGTAGCTGCTGCCTTAAGGCTTTTATCACTCACACTATTAACACACAGTATAGCGAGCGTCCGCAGGTATAAATCTGGTACACCTGAGTCCACTATTCTTTGGTGTATAATTAACTAGATTGAGTTTCTGTCACTTTTCTGTCTGATGTAAATCCCTGCACATTTACACAAATGGAGTGATTCCACCAGCGCGCGCACACACAATGAGTAATGAGGCACTTAAGAAGGCGAGACAGTTATATACATGCTGGAGAATGGACAGTAATTACAAGCCCGGGGTGCAACTTTCGTTCTGTTTGTCATTTAGCTTCCCACATTTCATGTCGCGTTGCCAGATAATGGAGACAAAATGGATTTTATGTTGATAATATCAGCAATTCAAATTCATGATGGTTACAATTTAGTCTAACAGCGGACATGACAGAGGAAACTGTCACAGATGTTGACCATAAATCCTCGTTTAAAGTAATCACGCTGCTCATAATGGAGAGCCGGGTTAAAGATTATGCTTTGTGGTATTGTGGATGTACCCGGCTGATTTAAACCTCCACAGCAAATAATGCACACATCATTATAATCATGCTGTCAGGTCATTGAGCTACAAGCAGGTGAACCACAGAGAGTGCACACCCCCTCAGATTGAGCCTTTTTTTTGATCATGTGACCTAGCTTTAGAGTTTAATTATGCCTCATGTTCGAGAAAAACCTGCCGCCGTAATTACCAGTCACAATTAAGTCCCAGGTAAGTGTATCTCAATTTGCTTATTGACATTTAAATGCCAAGAATTAAACAAACTGTTTGCTTCAAACGTGTTTAAATGGGCGAGAGCTTTCTGTTTGAGAAATGAAGTCGGAGAAAGTAATCAGTGTGATTGTTCCTGAGATGAAAACAATAGAAACGATGAAGTTTGATTCACTGTAAACTCGCTCTCTTCATCCGTGCATACATAAGAGTAAAATATTGTCATGTAGTACTAAAAACCACAAGAAAAGTCATCATGTCAGACTTTTCCCCTTATGATTATAGATTAAATATCACAGTAACATTATATATACATCTTTTTTTTTACACTTTCAAACTGAGGAAAGACAAGAAAAGGACGGTGTAACATATAGGGGAGAGTGTGGTAAGATGAGCCTTTTTTCATATTCCAGATCACTACATCAAATCAATCATAGTTTTGTCTCTAACTCGTGTATCTGCAGATATTTCAGGATGTTGTTCATCCCTGAAAACCAACAGAATGAGTGGAAACAGAACTGTCTTGATAATATAGCATGCTAAAAAAAAAGTGGTCTCCTATGGTCAACTTACCCCGTGTATGGGGTAAGTTGAGCCGTATCCCTACTACCCCTCCCCAGCCCTCCCTCACCTTATAACAGTCACTTCTTTACATTCATGTGTATTTTTATCTATTATACACTATTCAAGTGGTACAATAATTCTTTTTATTATTATTGTTATTGCATATAACTCCTAGGTTGCTCTGGACTGATTCAGAAGTGAAAAATGTTTTGTTTTTTTGTAAATAAATGTCTAACCCCTTCACCCATGTGCTTCTAACCTTCACAGACTCCATGAATTGATGCCCATCTCCTAAATATTTGGTCACATGATCAATTTCTTTTGGCTCAACTGACCCCAGTCTCCCCTACTACTAAAAACCACAACAAAAGTCAACATGTCAGACTTTTCTCCTTATGATTATTGATTAAATATCACGGTAACAGTATTAACATGATATTTCTGGACACTATCAAACTGAGGAAAGACAAGACAAGGACGGTGCAACATATAAACACGATTAACTGACATGTAATTGGGTGAAAGTAATCCGGTACGCAGCGGTACACAAACTTTCACCCCTGTAATGGTTGTCGGCTTTATTTACTTACCGTGTTTCCGCACCTTAGTCTGCACTCTGCATTGTAACTGTAGTAATCCAAAAGGACCGCGCTGCTTGCGATTGAGTCGTATTTACTTCCGCAAACAGACAAATACCGGTAGTGGGCGCGCTCGGTGCGCACTTATGATTGGACGCTGGTTGCCAAGGCAATGGGGATAGTCTCGCGCCTTTTGCGGAAGGAGGGAATTTTTAAAGAGACAGCTGCTTCAATCTTGATGCAGAAATAAAACAAAATGGAGGGGGGAAAATGATTTTATGTTCAAAAGAGAGAGAATGACGGAGTGTTAGGGCCACATTAAGAGAAAAAAGAAAGACTCCGAGATTGAAGTCATTACTAACAAGAATAAAATCATTACTTACGACAATAAAGTCAATAAAGACATTTCCCCCTCCTCAAAAACAGCGATTCCCTACAAGTCCTCCTGGTTCTCTCTGTGGAAAGGATGCATTTCTTTCATATATCCTGGAAAGGATTTATTATCTCCTTGTTTTTGAAATCTAGCTACTTAGGTTCAATTCATGTAAATGCTCCACAGCGCTCATTTAAACAACTAACAACAGGTTAGAATATTAACTATGACTTTATTCTCATAGGTAACGATTTTAATACAACTTTATTCTCATAAGTAATTAAGAAGTCTTACTTTTTTTTTCTTGATGTGGCCCTTATACTCCGTCGTAAACAAGAGATGCAGCAGATGCTGATACTGTGGTATCAGTCGACACCTCGTTAAACATGGGTGTGCTCCTCTTGTACAAAGCCCATGGGTACAGTACCTACAAGAACCTTATCTACTTTCACCCCTACATCCAATCGTCCACTTTCAACCCTGTAACATAAATGTGTTTAAAGAAGACACTTGCACGTGAATCGACTGTTTGCATTACTTTTATTTTGAGAGTCTGTCTTTCTCACTGTAAAACTGTGCTTTTATTTTGAAGTGTACCGTTTTACAATCACCACCTTGCAGTTCCTGTGCATCTGTGAAGCTCTCTCACTCTGTAAGCCACCAAAACGAAGGTCGAGCTTCTTCCACTGTGGTGATCAAAGTTGTGTGAATGGACTCAACCTTCCACCTTCATCTACATAACTTTAACATACACATGGGTAGCATGAAGATTGTGTTTAGTACAGACATGAACTCCCTTCTAATCTTTGCTAACTATATCTATGTTGATTACTGACTAAAGCAGACAAATAAGACGATAAAAGATGTCCAAAGTCATAAATTGGAGTATCAAGGCAACACAAACTGCAATACTAAATGCAAAGAAAACAAAAGAAGAAAATAAATGCATATATTTGTAGCATCAGCGAATTAAAATCACATTTTTTGTCTACATGTTCATTTTTTTAATTGCCATAAAGGGTTTGTAAAGCAGAGTTATCAACAGCTGCTGTTTCACGCAAACAAAAGACCATCAACAGCAGAGGAAAGACGTCTCTCGTGTTTGAACAGCTGGAAATGAGAAACCATCAAATCATTTTCTTGTTCTGACTGAAAAGCAGCTCGTCTCTATTTTTGCAAAATAAGAAACGTAATAACTCTAAGTCATTTCTTCTTAATCACAGATTACAGTCAGGGATTTTCACTCATTTTGTTCACTTTTCTGCACACGCTGGTCATCTATAATGGAATTTAACATTGAGAAATTCTCTGATCGGAGACGGTGTGGCATTCAGGGACGGAGTGTTATTACTCTGCTGAGAGAAACTCTCGGTTACAGAGGAGAGGCTCTGATACGAGGTGATTCCACAGGCAGGGGAGAAATATGTTTCTTCATGACACACTGAGTAAATGTGTCTGCAGTGGCCTTCAGAAGCTGATAAATTACACTCGCACGGCCCTCTGGTGTCACAGCGTTTCAGCTTGGCTTCTTTGTCTGAGAAAACAAAAGAAAATGTCTTTCATCTTTTCGGATTTGTCTCTCCTCTGTCGTCCGCACGTCTCCGGGGGTCCTGCTTTGCAGATAGTTAAAGCCGAGCATGTTGAGATATTGTATCAAAGGATGGAGGTTAATTGAACAACTGCACCATATCTTTTTCCCATAATGCATTTTTATCTGCAGGGTTCATTTGGGGGATGTTGTACACTAAAGCTGCCCGTTGCATCTTTACTAGCTTTTCACCTTACAAGACTAAACCCTGCAGGATAACGCTTTCTTATTCATCATATTATTTTCTGCATGCTTGCATATCATCCAACAGAGGAGAATATTCTGGTGTATTCAAACCTCCTCACTCTTATATGGACCACTGGTTTGATACTAATGCTAGCAGGAGGCTACACTCTGCTAACCAGGGTCAGTGTTTGCAGCGAAGATTAACGTGTGCAGGCAGGTGTAAATTACTGTAGGTGTCAGCATTGACAGTACGTGTTCAGACTTTCCGGTAATTACTCCCAATGTGCACGTGTGTATTGGCAGGTGAATTAAAAAGCTGTACAGTGAGTTCGGAGTGAATGTGTGGGGTTGATTTCATGAGGGTGGGTGTGTTCGCCGGGACTGAATCTCCAGCTTCAGCTTCACTTTAATCTTTCATGCCTGACTAGGTAACGAGAGTGAGTATAGATGTATGAATATAGATCTGTCTTTCTATCCCCCTGAATATAAACTCATAGATCCTCATTTTTAAAAACCATTTCCACGAGGAAAACCTTGAAAGGTAGTTTCTTTTTTTACCTGAGGTGGCACACGTCACGTCTATTTCACAGGCACCTGGTTGTAGTGCGGTGCATTTGTCAGGTGGTGGCAGTAGCATGTCTGAAAGCTCTATACTAGTGGCATTATAACAGAAGAAGAAGAAGAAGGCGAGCTGCATGAACAAAAGAAGAAAAGGTTAGCAAAGGTGACCATAGTCTGAATCCCCAAAAAGAGGACACAACTACGCAGGGGCGGAGTCACATGTAGTTAATTTTGATGCGCTTCTAACTCAGTAAGTCTCCACAACACAAACTCAAAACATGCATACAAAACTCCAGACATTTGAAGGATTTTATAAACTCCCCCGGACAAAAAAGAGGACATGTCCGGGTAAGAGGAGGTATGGTCACCCTGGGTTAACAGTTATAGACTCAGAAACAACAAAACTGCAGACCGAGCATTGATGTAAAATGTAAACATGCATGAGCACATGCATAGGACCACAAACATCCTGCTGCAGGTACGGTGCTTATGAGCCAGGTCTCTTTTGAAGGTCTCCAGGTAGCAAAATCAGGGTTCTCCAGACCAAGAGGAGGACCTATTTATTAAAGACACGTCTGATGAGTTTCTTTTGACACTGCAATAAAAAATAAACAAGGATACACTTGTGAGAACTTTCTCTGTGTTCACTTTCACAATAACAGCTGATTCATTCAGCTGAAGGTCGCTAAAGGTCGTGAACAGGGCCACTCTGCTAACCCGGCTCCAAACAGCAACTAAACACCGTTCACTCTGAAGCTGTCGTGTCTTCCTGAAAAACTCGAGTCCAAGGTTAGATTATATAAATTTAAACAACAGACCATGAAAACTCAAGCAAAAAACTGATGCTAATAACTTCGCTAATCTGTGCCACTTCTGCCGTGAAAATGCATGCACAGTTTTGCACATCTATAGATAAACAAACTACAGATTTGATCACCTTTTTTTAGTTTTGCGCAGGAATAAAAAGCCTCTTGATTAATTTTTGGTGTTTGCATTTGTTGTAATTTCCTCACAGATAAAAACGTGATTCGTGTTAACCTTCACATCCAAAAGCTCCTCTGTGTTTGAGGCTCATGAAATGAAATCCACTACAGTGACCTGTGCAGCTGTCACTCTTTGATATTTCCCTCCTCAGATGGCTATAAGCTGAGAGCTATAGGCCGTGTGCATGAGTGAACATGTAAAGAGCTTCTTTCAACGACGTCCAGGTTTTGTTCCATCATTACAAAGCTGCATTGTGTGCGCGGGGCTCGATGCACAGCGTGCGCTGGATGGGGCCAATAGATCTGTAGGACCTGCAGGCAAACTGGAGTAAACCAACCAAGTGAAAGGCTGCCTGCCTACACTTTACCCTGTCAGAGCTGAGCATTAAAGCGAGTCCTGAGAGCTCAAGAAATAAAGACGAGGAGCTCCGGTTAATGGATGTATGTGACTGTTGAACACTTCCGTCATTGTTGTCCATTCAGCTCTGAAGAAAAAAAACTATTTCTATCCATATTCAGATCCTGTAATCCTCTGATTTATAAAAAGCACACAAGAACAGCTACCAATTCTCTAAACAGCAGGCTCCTTTGAAGCTTACAGAAGGAACTCCGTGTCCATGGAGTCTGAAGAGGCTTCTCAAATGAAAACCCTGCCTGATGGGAAAATTTTCATTTTTATTCCGATATATATGTAAGAGGAAATGACAGCACTCCCATTCACGACATCAATTACTGTGGTAAGACATTTCAAAGCTAATATCAGCCATTTGGGATATCGAAAATTGTTCCATCTATTTTACAGTAACCTGGGAGTGATTACGGTCTCTCAGTATTATCGCCATTTTTGATGACTCATTGCACTTTAGTTTTTCTGTCCTTTATAACCAACATGTAGATTTCTCCCGTCTTTGAGAGTTTTATTTAATATCAGATATCATCCGATTAAAACTTTACTTTAAATTTACCTTTTAAATTAATTAAAGGTTACATGCATAACGTACGATTTCGCCTTCACAAGGTATATGATTTAGACGTCATTAGACAAATCTCACAGCGATAAGGTTCCTGTTGTATTCTCCAGCTTCACAGGAGCTCCTCAAGGTGGGTTCTGATTATTCAACCATTGCAGACCCAAAACAGCTGATCAGTGCGAGATCACGAGTACTAGCACCTCTGAAATGACGAGGTAGAGCAGATCTGTTCGATTAGTTGCTCTTCTTTAAACACTCTTGTTGTCATAGAAATAGTTAGTCTTATCTTGGACAGGTACTTTGACATGTTTCGTCGGAAACTTGTGATTGACGCGTCACACCTACCGCAGAGTAACACCTCTGAGGAAGGTGGAAGTTTCCGTCAAAACATGTCAAGGTACATGTCTGAGATAAAAGAAAAAAGAAAACTATTTCTAAGTAACTAAAGTCATAATGAAGATCATTCAAATACTCTTGTTGTCATGTTTGCCATCATCGTCATGGCGAAGTTAGTTTTTCCTTCTTTTACCTCATTGGCTGTCCAGTTGGTCCACGTGACAAACAGCAAACATGATCAGCCGTTTTCACAAACGTAAGGACTTCTGATGGTATGATTCCAAGTTTTGGAGTCTCTGGTCGTCTTTTGCGCAAATCAGAGAGGAATAAAATCTGTTTTAAAACACCTCACACTACAAGATAATCGGACAAGCTAATCTTAACAAATATCTGATTACCGAGCCTTTGCCGACTTTTGTTGGACGTGGGGAAATCGAGCTCAAAATCGCCACAATTACCTCGTAGTTTTTGCTCCGCTTTAAGGATGTATCAGCTTTCAGTAACTCTGCTGTTTCTGCTCTGTCTCGTTGCCTTGGCCACTAATTTGCATGGCTACTATTTTTACCAGTGCATTCGTCAACACAGCTGTCAATCAATCATCTTTTGACATCCAATTACAAATTAAAACTAAACTTCTTGGATGAATAAAGACTTTGGCAAACATCAGCAGATTAAAATGACAGAAATCGTGTCGAGATAAATGTTTATTCTAACCCATGCTCCATCCAAACAGAGGAGGCGGAGCTTATGACCTGTTCTGCAGACAGTCAGTAGGGGGAGCTCTAAATCTTTTGGCTGCACTCTCATGACGTTCATGTTAATTCACAGTCGCTGGTGTTTCTCGTCCGTGACAGCTGGGATTGGCTCCAGCGTGAGATAAGCGGCGTGGATGATCCCCGTTTGGCAGGAGGTTTTTCTTCCACTTGTTGTCGAAAATAAAAACATATTGTGTGAATTTTACTCTCCATGCCTGAAAGGGACAGCTTCATTTATTTCAAGTGGAGAAAAATCTTGTTTATGATTGGGAACATTTCATTCAAGTCTACTTCAAACTGTGAAGGTTATAACTGCAATCTGCCGAGTGTTTTCTTAGATATGCTGCGAACATCAAAAAGGGACGACTTCTAATTCTGCACGCAAGAAACAGATCTGACGTCCCCGCAGCTGAGAAGTGACAAATCTGTCGTCTCACCGGATCCTCCTTTTCTTTTTAGTTTTTTGTGATCTAGCCTTGAAAACTCCAGACTGATGTTCCCTTTGCGTAATTTTGATTGTGTGAATCTTAAAAAACAACCTGACAGCTCTGAAAACTAAACGGCCCGAGGCTGAGAGCGTTTTTTCTGTGTGATTCCAACGTCTCGAACTTTGAGTCGATGGTTTGATTGTTTTTCGTGACACGAGGACTCCTGCTGATCAATCGACTGTTTGATGCGTTGATAAAGGTGTAAAGGGAGAAGCCAAACGTGCATTTGAAGTGCAAATGAAAACCAATAAAATCCAAAACACTGAGCATAAATCAATATGCACGAGCGAATCTGAGGGCTCACGGATAAGAAGAGTTCATTTCGTCTGGTGATAAAAATCCTGTTTATGAACACAGCAGGTGATCATTGTGATTAATCGTCAGCTTTGTAGGAAATTAGACTCATCCAGATTCAAAAAAGCCCAGAGGATTTGATTGAACAGTCTAATTGTCTTTTAGAGGGATGAATTAACTCGGCGCTCACTGGGGACCCGATCACAAACACAACACGGGGGGATTGGGTCGGCTGCGGCGGCGCGGCGACAGCGGTTACAAGGCCTCGGAGAAACACTCGCTTTGAAGCTTGCTCTCTCACTGAGGAAAAGACCAAATCAATTCTGTTCAATTTGCTTTGAAGGAGAAATTGCTTCCTCATCTCCCAGAGTCCATCACAGCCCAGTCAGGCACAAAGACGACGACGGCGTGTCCCTGTTTACTCTTTGTTATGAAACCAAAAAGCGGCATTTGCATTTTTAAGCAGGTTTAACAACGTCTGAACATCAGGAGCAGACAGTCTTTATGATCCCCGCTGATCTGGTGAAGATTCTGTTTTTTTGTAACTAGTTTCCAGTCACGCTCTGTTACCTCTTTGTTTGTTCACAAGAGAACTAAATCTAAACTTTATATATTTGCGTTGGAGCTGATGTTTGTTGTGCAACAGCTGGTCTTGACTTAAAGGGATATTCCGGCGTAAAATGAATTTAAGGTCAAACACACCGTAACACCGAGTTAGACCCCCCCTCCAGAGATGAATGTTGCCGACCGCTTGCTTCTCTAGTTATACCAACTTTAGTAACAACCGCACCATAGCAATACAGAGAGCCACACGCTCAACCAAAACACCACTCTATAGCCACAAATAATGCTCAGAACAGCACCTAACTTCATCAACAGGACATATAGGATCACAGACACCAAACATCTTTTTAACTTTGACTAATTTCTTTAGCAAAGAGACTAAACACAACTCACCTACTCTCTTCCAGTAGCCACTTGTTTGTAGTGAGACCTCAGGCCAGTCCATTACAGACTACAGCGGGGTGACGCAGCTCAAGAAAGAACATTAAATGTTCTTCCTTGAGCTGCGTCACCCCGCTGTAGTCCATAATGGACTGGTACAAAACAAGCGGCTGCTGGAAGAGAGTAGGTGAGTTGTTTTCAGTCTCTTTGCTAAAGAAATGAGTCAAAGTTAAAAAGATGTTTGGTGTCTAGTACTATGGCTGTGACCCTATATGTCCTGTTGATGAAGTTAGGTGCTGTTCTGAGCATTATTTGTAGCTATAGAGTGGCGTTTTAGTTGAGGTTTGTTTATGGCTCCTCAGACTGCTGTGTATTGCTATCTGCGGTCGTTACTAAAGTTGGTATAACTAGAGAAGCAAGCGGTCGGCAACATTCATCTCTCCAGGTGGTGTCTAACTTGGTGTTATTGTGTGTTTGACCCTAAATTAATTTTACGCCGGAATATCCCTTTAACTCACATGTCCAGTACTTTCAGACCTCATGACTCTGCAGAGTTCAATAAAACAAGAAGCAGATGCTGAAACAAAGGGATTCATAAGATTAGATTTAAATGAAATAAAGTGAAAATTAAGGCGGTGTATTAATCGTTGTTTGTCTGATGTAAAGATGGAAAAGGGACCGATCTGCAGAAGCTCCAAGAGGAAAATGGAAAATCACTGGGAATGTGAGTCAGATACAAACCCGCCTCACTATCATTGTGCAGGACTTTTACATCTGTTATACATTTTCAAGGTTGAGTTGCGCCTCAGCGGCCGTTTCCTCCCTGTTTCACAGGATGTCACATCGTGGATGGGGTCCGCTGCAGCCACCTTGATTTCATGGGTCATCGTTTCCGGGGTTTGCTCAGCTCGCCCGTGCAACAGACTCCAAATGAGATTTTAACTCTTCTCGTCCTTTCAGCGACAGCGTGTCCGGGAAACTGGATTAGCTGTCTGAATCTCCAAGGCAGGACTGTGAGATGTACCAGTTGTTATCCTGCGTGACAAAGAGACAGTCAGGTGACGGTATTAACACGTGTGCTTGACACCGGATTTATGATTCAGCTGGAGGCCTCGACACCACAGAAGAGAAAAAAGCTGTGAACAGAGGATGTTCTTCATCTTTTTATTTGCCCATCAGGACAAAAGTGCAGATGGTGAGGGGGATATTAGGCTGGGAAATCATAATAACATGCAAGTGAGGAGCTGAGGCCAGTGTGCTGCCGGTGTTTCATTATGTTCCTGAGCTACAACCAAAGTGGAGAAATTAAATATCCCAGAAAAATAAAAAAGAGAGAAAATGAGAATAAAAAGAGAGAAAGAGTAAACATGACCAAAGCTGCAGAAACTAAAGGGGGACGTTAAAGCCCACAAAGAGCAGAGTTTGACTTGGGTACAGCTGTGCAGACAGATAACTCTTCAACAATTGACAGGTGTGACGTCCTCTTTAATTAGACGTATCCCTCAAATGTCAACAGAGTAAAGGCTAAAACATACAGGATGTGTATTTGGAACGAGGCAGCCGCGTCGCGTATCACGTAGCAAATAGGTCACTATTCTAATCAATGCAGCAAAGCATATATCAGCTCTGTCGCACCATCATATCGAAGCAGCTCTGCTAAAGATACGCAGCGAGTCTATTTTTTGCTGTTCTACGCTTCCAATACGCATCAATCCACACAGAGGAGATCGGTCCAGACAGGAAGTCAAGCATGAAAACCACTCATGTCATCCGGTATTTCAAAATAAAACACCATATGTGAACTCCCAACTGTGTATCAGTTCGTGTAGATGAGAAATCCTTCCTGGTTCTGGATTTATCAGTAACACAGAACAATCCGATGGTCAATCCCTGATCCATGTGAACCCCAACAGGACTTTGAACTGCTAACTGCTGACAGCATAAAGAAACATAGTTTACTTTATTAAACACAAGTAAACCTGCAAAAACACAAACTGTAAAATCACGTAGCTTTTTCACAGACAGTAGAGGCTCAACAGTCACTGAATTATATCCAAATTATCAGGAAATCGACCACAGAAAGGAAAAACAACCTGTTGTGAGCATGTTGTTTCCTCTATACTGAGCCCAGCTGACCGGGGCGGCACTACGCTGCTGCTACGCTCCAAATACGCTGATCCTGTATGTCAGGGGTGGGCAGTTCACTTTTACATGGGGCCACATGAGAAACCTAAATTGTGTTGGAGGGCTGAACCAACAATAACTTCAACTTCAAATCAGAGGGGTTTACACATACAGGAAAGTAAGCCCAAATAAGCAACTACGAGTTAAAAACAAGACCCAAAAAAGCACACCCGCCACTCACGAGTTGAAAGTCATTTGTAGTAAATAGACTTGGCAACTATAAGGCGTCCACGTATATTTTGTTTAAACTTGTCTCTGTTCACGAATGCAGATCTAGATCTCATTGATTGAAACTGTGCAAAAAAAACAAGAGTTGATCTGCAGAATATCCCCACTGTGTTTTCACATTTGTTTTTGCATGCAGACTTTGTGTGTTATTGTTTAGTAAACCAGACACCGATGCATTAATCATGAGCTCAACGAGAGCGCCATAAAGATCCGAGTACAACTCACTGCAGGGTAAAGATTTCAGGAGCCAGAATAAAAAAGTTCCTCTCCAACTTTGGGAGCGAAGTCAGTGGAAACAGCTTGTTCCACCAGCAGCAGCTGTCCTCTGTTGTTTCAGTGAAGGAGGCGCATCTGTCCCGCGTGTCATTGTTATTTGAAATCTATGCATCTAAACACTCAAACGCCGTCTCTAAATGTGACAAAATGACACTGTATCTGCCTCCTTCTGGGGCCCCGCAGCTCCCCACCTGCTGTGCCACCGGCGAACACGAGGAGCCGTTTGTGGGAGATGAATTAGCCTGTAAGCTCATCAACTCTGACTCCAACCACACACCAGATGAGTATGAGAAGACCTCTCCCTGTGGATCTGCTCAGCCTCCACTGATCTCTCCTCCTAATTACAATAATACCCCACAACACTGTCATTTCACAAAGCCATAATTTGCTGCGACGCTCCGCCAGGCCGGCAGCATCGTGCTCACTTTCTCTCCCAAAATAAGACATTTGCACTTGGTGATAGACGCCGTGTGGCGCAGAGCCTGTGAGGTGATGTGAGCGATGAGAAATCACGTCTGGCAATTAGAAAGCCAAGAGAAGTCTGCTGATATTATCGCATTCAGAGAAACATCATTACACACTATTACTTTGAGTGGATATGAAACGAAAGGACGGGAAATAATCCTAATGAGAGACACGACTGCTGCTGACTACACTGATAATAAAAAACACATAATTTTCTATTTGTATGTATCTACAGATGGAGACGCATGAGTGTAACCAACAACACGGGCTTGTTGTGACGGTAATAAAAACACGCTGTGGTGAAAAAACATCAGCAGGGAACCAAACCCTTCTTACAACTTTATAAAGTCACACTATTATTATCCGTAAATTTGCAGTAAAAGCAGATATTTTCTGATTTTCAGTGACGGTTTGCTTGATGAAAATAGCAGCATGAAAACCTGAAAGGTTCTGGGGCGTCAAAAACAAGCCAGGGTGAAAAGTGAGACCAAATAAACAAGTTTGAATCATTCATTATTAATGCTGAGTTCCAGTTGTAATCAGAAGTCGGGATTTCCGAAATAACGGGCGCTTGAAAAGGAGGTAGACCATCCAGACAAGAGCTGAAAAAAGCCGGGTCAACAATGATGGGGGACACTTTGGTATCTTACAGAAATTAACCTGGAACGCCCCCCTGAAGTCCGATTCCCGACTCAGAAAATCAGACTTTCCTTACCAACCCCGACTTGACGACAACATCATAACTCAAGATGGCAGCGCAGTACATCAACAGTAAAGAGTTACAGTGAAAGCTCTCGTAATGTTTTATTTATTACTGCTTCTGTTTCGTTTTTTGTGAAATTAAATAAGTGGTTAACGTTGTACTGTCCAACGTCTAACTGTGAACATGGTGCTGTGGTGTTTGTAAGAGTCAAATACTGTGTTATGTGTTGTTTACAACTGGTATTGCTAACAACAAACAACAACTGACAACGGCTAACAACAGCTAACAAAAACTAACAACGGCTAACAACAGCTAACAATGGCTAACAACAGCTAACAAAAACTAACAACGGCTAACAACAGCTGACAATGGCTAACAACAGCTAGCAAAAACTAACAATGGCTAACAACAGCTAACAATGGCTAATAACAGCTAACAATGGCTAACAACAGCTAACAAAAACTAAGAACGGCTAACAACAACAATTAACAACGGCTAACAATAACAGCTAACAACGGCTACCAACAACAGCTAACAACGGCTAACAATAACAGCTAACAACGGCTACAAACAACAACACCAGAAAAAGTGTTCAAATATTCTCAACATGCAGAGCTCAAATAATCCTGATAATTCACCTGCATCCAGTGATTCCTGGTTACAGCAACAGACTTACTTGATTCATTTTTTCAGTCTCCTAACAAACATATCCTCATAGTTTATTGTTCTGACTAAATTACATCATGTCTTTTCTCTCTTTGCTCTGTCCTGCACCAGCTCAACTCTGCAGCATCAAACTTCAACTCCAGCTGGAGGTTTAAAACATTTTATCAACACTATTGAATAAATGCATGTAAATTGAACCTGTGGTAAACATTTCCAAACATTTCAAACCCGACGTGTCTGACTGGATCTGTTTTGGTCGTGAGCCATGACCACACTGCGGCTGTTTTTGTGTAGGTTGTTGGTGCCAAACACTTTTCTATCAAGCAGACAATCGAGAGCTTTGTGCCTAAATGATCCATCAGAGTTGACGTCTACTGTACAAAGGACACAAACAGCGGTGTCCTTGGTGAAATCAAGTTTACTGGCAGGAAGCCCAGAAGGCTCCCATGCAGGAAAGTCAAGAAACGATAGATGGACGACGTGACAACTCCCAAAGAGTGAAGCTCTGCTGACTGTCAGACATACTGTGGCTCCATCAGCTGATCTTTGGGAGTATTTTGGCTTCAGTTTTGCACACAGGGTGCAGGTGGAGACATTGATATATTGATCGAGTCACCGTCATCGTCCCATCAACCTGATTGACACTATAAAGCTTTGACTTTGCAGAAATAACATCTGACTGAAACATTATACCTGGAAGTTATTGCTTTTCATAAAAAGAGAGAGAAAGAAAATGTCATGATGATATAATATAATATTCTATGAATATTTTGTGTTTGACAAATTTACTCCCGGTTTGCACCAGGCTGTAGAGACGATACTAATGCTCAGCTGCTTGTTTGATTTATTTGATGCTAATCTTTTTTCTGCAGACACGACAAACCAATTTCACCTGATAGCAGATATCCAACACTGTGATGCTTCAGCTTCTTAAAATGAAGGTTTTAGGACGTGTTTTGTTCTGGAGGAGAGGTAATCCTCCCTTGTTTTGTTGTCTAAATTAACCTCCTTTTAATCCTGCCAGCTTAGACAAGGATTTTGCTGCATGTTGTTGTGTGAAAACGAAACAAATGAGGTTTAATTGATTGATTTATTGATTGATAATACCGGCACAAGATCTGCTGGCTCAGGTGTACAAACATAATTGATTTTATCGGCTAAAGGTCACAGTTGAATCCAATTAAGTACGACACAAAATCAATGTCTTAATTACAGAGGGGAGACCTTCAGCTGCGTTTTATCATCTGGGGATCTGGACATGATTTTAGACTTTTCCATGTTTCTTAGTTTTTTCCTTCAAGTGTGTTTAAAGTCAATGCAAGGGAACTTTTTCATGCTTTTATTAAGAAACGGGACAACTAAGTCAGAAGTTTTCTGCCTTGTTTTGGCAAAGACAGAGTCTGGACCCAGAGTAAAGTTGTCATCTTTTCTAGCTCATGCACAACTTTTGTCATCCCTAACTCGGTTGCAGAAAAGTAAAAATAAAAATATAAATCCAGGTTTGTAAATAAAGAGGTTGTCATATTCTCACTTCTGGCTAAAAGGAGCTCATGAAACATTTAAAGTAAAAACTGGAACAAAAGAGACAAAAAGCAGGATCAGCAGCTGCAGCAGAGAGGAAACAAACATGATCTCAGCACCGACTAAAAATACCTCCATCTGTCTTAATTAGTCTCTGACTCAGGACACCAAGTCAGAGTTAGTATGAGTCACAGGTACATCCACATGCAGATCTTGTAGGGTGTCCCCCGGTCTGCAGAGGTCAAAAGTGGTCCAAAAAGAGACCTTTATGGTGAGAAGAGGTAGGCCCATGTGATCTGATCCACCAGAGGAGCCAAAGACACTCAAACTGCTGAGAGAGACCACGCTGGGCCTCGTAGAAAAGGGTCAGAGCACATTAGGTACATTAGAGTTTGCTGTGCAGTCTGCTCATGCTGACTCCTGTCCACCACCATGAGCTCCAACAAGCTGCAAATAAACACCATGAGAAGTTCAGGTGATGGAGGGGCAGCCATCTTAGATTTCAAGTTTGGGGTTGTCTGAATTGTTCCAACTCACAGGAGCATTTCTGGTGCTGAATCAAACATTTTATAGAGAAATGAAAGCAAGAAAGTTTGTATCACAACTGTTTGTGTTTTCATAAATGCTCAGATTAAAGGTCAGATTTGCAGCACCACATTTGTTTGACTTGGAGCCACTAAAAGAGGTGAAATCAGGAACTTTGGATGAGGGTAAAACCTGAGTGACCCAATCGAGGAGGTGATGGAGGTTGATTCTCCTGGATTTAGCAGGATTTTTAGATCCTGGCAGTGATCTCTGTCATAGTTTTGTCTTTTTTTATCAGCTCAGAATTGGGACAGAAAAACTAAACTGACTCTTTTAGAAAATCAAACCTGAAGAGGACTTTGTGCTGCAGTGGACTCAAAACCGCTTTCAGTCAGACTGGAGTAATTGTTGTGTTTGGAAGATTTTTGTAAAGTGTGCATCTTTTCTTTTTGTTTTCTCATGTGTGGTTCTATCTTCTAAAGAGAGATGGTTTCTTTTATTTATATAACACCTGTTTCACCTGCTCAGGTGTCCTCTTTTCTGTTCAATGTCGGTCACTTTGTTTAATCGTCAGAGTTTGTCCTCTTTCCCTGAGAAGCTGCTCTGAGGAGGATCTTAAAATGATCAGCTGATCACAGCCTCTCACTCTCCTCTGCAGACACCGACTCTATCCTGTACAGTTATCTGTCATAATAACACAACTTTATTCCTGTTAGTCTGTTTCCCATCATGCAGCTGAAAAAGAGATAGCTTTTGTCCACAGCTGCACATGTCCACAGGTTTTCAGAGAACGTTAAACTATATATATAATTAATATTAAAGATGCCTGAGGAGACTCATATCTGTAATTCAGTTTAACATCTGTAAACGCTTCAATCAGAAGAAAACAGACCTTACCTTTAAGATCAGCTTTCATGCTCTGTTTATTAAATATTGTTTCAGGTCCATAAGAATAATCGATGATCTCCATGAAATGTTTTTTTTTTAATCATGCCCAGCCTTTGAACGAGAGCTTGATCCCTCTAAGAGTGTCGGATATTTAGCTTTACAGGGACACTCACTGCATCAACAATGAAGTGTTTTTGTGGTTCAGTGGAGGGTGTGTTTTAATCTCAGAGGATCTGTAAAAGAGTAAAAGTACAAAGTCGATGAAAACAGACGTTCACCGTATGAAGAGAATAAACAGAGACATTTTCAAGGGTGTTTTCCACTTCACAGATACTTTGAAGGTTGGTTTCATATCTCTGGATTTGTTGCACTAATATTTCAATATTTACTCACTCTGTTTATGTGAGGCAGAGATCTGTGAGGATGAGGAGCGTTGGCGCTTAAAGGTGTCAAAGATGGATGTGGTCTTTGTGGTCATCATCAGCGGTGTGTTTATGGAGGACTGCTGTCGCTGCTTTGGTGTTTTGGATCCAGGAGTCGTGACATTTGGCAGAGAGAGCGGACTCTGGGAGGGTTTTTGGAAAACTCAGAGTTATTAGAGTTTGAGAGTTTGTGCCAAAGGCGGTGGAGCGGAGCTAACCTGCTCACACACACTGTTAACAAACCTCAGGAGGAAGAAGAAGCCTGGAGAGTTTAAAGGAACATTTCACTGTTTTTGAACTGAGTTTAAATGAGTAAGCGTGATCGTCGGTCAGCTCAGCCCCTTGACCAAAAGCCTGGTTGGTTTTGCACGACTGGCAGATGCAGCACATGCAGAATCGCTTTTCTTCCTGCAGGGCATGGACCTGTTTGGGTCTGTGTGTTTTAAGAAGACAAAATTACAGCCAAACTGAGTACAGACTGATTCTGACAGTGCTGATAACATGCTATTTATCGTGGACACATGTTAACATCTTTATGGACAAAGGCAACTCAACCCACTCACATTGGCGAGGTTGAAAAAACAGAAAAAGAACCCAATCGCAGAATAAAAGGTGATTTAATGGAAAAATGACTAAATAAAAAGCAACAAAAACTTACTAATAAAGTCAAACTCAGAAATCCCAAATCCAACAAAAGACTAAGGCACTGCAGGAAAAACCACATGGAGACACTGACACGCAGACTTACGACATACCAACAAAGAAACAGGGAAGACAAGGACTATATATACACACACAGGGGAATGAGCAATGAGAGGCAGGTGAGACACTGAGACACAGGTGCAGAAAATCACAGAGGAGGGAAAACTGAGGAAGTAAAACAAAGACTAGAAACACAGGGAATAACTCCTACAAAATAAAATAGGAAACACTGAAAACTGATCTAAAGAATAAAACACTGAGAACATGAGGGAAACGGGGTCAGACACAAACTGAAAACTCACAAGACAGGACTACAGGGGAACAGAAAACTAAAAACCAGAACATATCATGACCTCCACTGAAGGAAAAGGCGGAGGAAGCCTTATGCAAACTGGAGCGCATGGACTGATCTGAAGTTGCCTGGCGCAGACATGTAAATCGCATCCAACCGCTCATTAAGAACGACTTGTTGTCATGGGTGAGACTAAAGGTCATTACACACTGGAGCAAATATACAAAGTAAATAATCGGCTCTTTTTTAAAACCTCATCAAGTCAATGCAAGCTTCACTGCAAGACCTCTGGCTAATCAAAATTGTTGTTGTTGTTGGCATGTGGATCATGACGTCACATCAAAACCAGCATTGGAGTTGCACAGTCAAGTAGATGGAGAGCTCCAAGTGGTCGTTTAAGGAACTGCACTTGTTTACTCCTGTGGTTTCGACCTGATGACTGATAAATACTCCTACACACAGACACACACAGAGTTGGGTCAACGTTTGGACGTTAGTGAGTTATAGAAAGGTTCTCCTTTTTATCTTTTCCCTCCACACACTGAAAACGCCTGAGCAGAAAGTTTCGTTTATATAAATATATATATATGTATACTGTATATGTACACTCCCAGCAGAAAGACGAGTCGTTTCAAACGCTTATCTCAGATCGAGCATTCAAAGAAGCAGTCATGGTGGAGCAGATGTTATCTCTCACGCGGCGCCGTTAGATGTGTGATTTATAGAAAACAACAAAAAAGCAATTTTATTTCAAGAAAGTTTGTTTTAAGTCGGAGGAGAGGTTCAGGCGGAGCGGCACAGATGGTATCAGACGTTTCTTTTGTTCTTAAAGATAAGCCAGGCTGCGCTGATTAGTGTTATTATAAATGTGAGTCCCGTGTTTTGGTTGTCCACATTTTATATCCTTAAATTGGAGAGTCGTCTTTGCTTTTCCTATAAACACATAAAAAAGGATAAAAATATCCGATTAAAGAGAATCCTGCTGCACACAGATCATCTCAGACCTACAGAGTTTGTATTTCTTCAGGGATCCCTCCAACTCAGCCGGATGTAATCTACGTAAAAGGATGGATTAGGTTATAGATTATTTATCTAAAGATGGATAGGGATGATGAGCTGGTTAGGCCTCCAGGTTTCTGCCTCTGTCACTGTGAATGCTGGGAAATTGATCTGCAGGTCGATGGCTGGTTCACCCTGGTCCATCACGGAGCAGACGTCCGTCTGAGCCTCCGGGGAGCGTTTATTCACGTCCCGGAGAGCGGAAGAATAAGCGCCGTGTAACGTCTGCACTGTTGGTTTAATAACCGGCCTGCAGAGAGCGAGTACTGCAGGGCGTCCACAACAACTTCTAATTGCCACGAAATGAAAGATGAGGCATCACGCTCTGATCTTTTTTTCATCTTGTTAGTCAGCATCCTACGGTAAGCAGCTTTATTGGCTTTTCCGCTCGCTCTGTCTGCCGCTGCGCTCGCCGTGTCACGGCCACATAAAATGGGTTTTTCATGAGCAATCCTCACCTTCTCTCCGAGCTCCTTTCTCACTGTGGCACTTTTATTGTCTGTAGTAAGAAAAGCAGGAGAAAGGTTTCATTTTGAGGGAGAAGTGGACGGCAATAAAGCGGGACCTGGTTTACAGGAAAACATATGTTTGTTTGAGGAAAGGGAACCATCTTAAAACCAGAGTGTAATAAGTTCACTTTCTTCGTCGCTCGTTTACAGCCCATTATAATTGGCTCGGTGACAAAGTGCTAACAAGATTTTAAAAAGATTAGCATTTGATGCCTCATATATTTTTGGTGGCAATTAAAATGTGCTGCAGGTGCCACGAGTTCCCAAAAGTCAAACACAGGAGGTTATTTTTTTTAAGGTTTGAAAGATAATCAGTCAGCTTTAAGGAGAAACCTTTGAGTGTTGAAACCAAAACATCCATTTTTAAAGATGATTTAATGAGAAACAGGAAAAAGGACAAAGGAGGGAATAAAGACATATTATTCCTGCAGGAAGCATCTTTAGAGTAGGGTGTATACGCAACTAAACCAGTCTATGTCACAGTGCCAGTTCACGGTCTTGTTTGTGTTCATGAAACCACGGCAACAGAGTCTGAATGTAATGAACCGTACGGCCACCGATGGTCGAGCTACAAGTCTTCATTACTTTGGTGCATAGTTTCATTTTTAAGGAATTACACGTCAAGCTTGTGCATCAGTACACGACTACCAGAGACGATGCATGAACAAACAAACCCACGGCAAAGTCTATTTACTCAACAGGATATGAGTGTTTGCTTTGAATGTATGGTTTTGACATTATGTGGGAGAAAAGTTAATAAAAGGCGGCGCAGACGGCCATGTTTGAAATGTCAGGAGTCTCAGGATGGTCTGATAAAAATACACAAAGAACTGAAATCTGACACGTGAGTAAACCAGACTTTCACTACATGCCAAAAAACAAAATCTGTCCATCCAGCAACTTGGATGTAACTATTAGGGTCCGATCGATATGGATTTTTTGGGGCCGATGCCAATACCGATTATTAGGGGGGGGGGTCAGATTATGGATTACTCGGCTGATTTTTTGATTTTTTTATGAAGTTTTAAAATTTTGTTAATCTAAGTAATATATCTACATATTTACAAAAAGCAGATTATTCAGGGAACCTTTCAAATGGTGGAACATTTTCAAAGTGAAACCAAATCTCATTCTCCGCATTTTATTTCTGAAAATATCGGCGACAATCGGTGAGTTTTGGCCGATTACAGATTAGTCTCAAACGGGCTAAAATTGACCGATTAAATCGGCTCATTGCAGACTGAGCAAGTTCAACCCGAACGTCCCTCTACCCAGGAACAGGTCCCAGCTTAGAGGGGGCACAGATGAGTCATATTATCTCTTCAGTCTCACCCCAATGAAAATCATGTTTTTCCTGTTGTCTACATGTTCATTTTTCTGATGCTACAGGACAAAGAAAAATAAGAGCAAAATTCCATTTCTGAGTATTTCTACATTCAAATCACTGTGAATTTCTGTCAGACACAAACGTCAGATTCAGCCACAGTGAGATTTCCTATGTCACAAATCCAAGCTCCGCCCCCAGAGCCCTATTATGCAGGCCAGACTCAGAGAAAAAGAGAGGACGATCACAGGACAAGCGTGTGCGTTAGTGGATTGCAATACTCGTAAGAAAGCTAATTATGATATTATGTTACCCACCACTTCTACTACACCGTCAATGTTGGGCTACAAGCTAACTAGAGGAGAAGTGTGCAGAGCAGCGCTGTCTCCGCCCTCGACTCAGGGGTGAATTGCTAAAAAACGGTCAAAGTGGGGCTTTAAGGTTCACCTCAGGTTCTCTACCCTTACTCTGACATCCAGGTCTCCCCTGTGATCCACCTCGACATGACGTAGTGATTCCAGCTCCATCTTCACCTCCACAGCCTGTTTCCCGCCCCGATCACTCACTCTGCCCTCACTCATGATTCAGCTTCTTAAAAATATCCTGCAGCTCCGTTCATAATTTCATCATTAACGACTCCATGAATATGTAAATTACAACTCCTGTACTTTGACCACACATCCATCTCTGCTCTCGACTTTTGAGTCGTCGTAATCATGAAACTGAAACAGCCCGAGCTTACCGCCTGATTCTGAGTCATTAAAAATACATCATTGAGTTTTTCTGACTGACTGCGGGGAGCGGAAAATAAATCTAACGACACACGGCAGAGTCGTCGTTTTCACACGTTTCACACTCCTCCCTCAGCTCGGAGCGTGATCACACATGTCGTGTGTTAACAGAGTGAGTTCTGTGATCACCTGTAGATATCCCACCTGTAGCCCCCCTCTGATCACGGCTCGCCCCCCTTCCACTGTGGCTTAATGCATTTTTCAGGAGTATTCAAGTAAAAGAACACTTTATGTGGAGAGCTCTGCATTATTAATCACAGCGGCGAAGTCACAGAGAGGAAAGCTCCTGCAGCGATTCAGAACGGCGATCAGAGCGAGGGCTTTAATGTGAGATAAACAGACACTTCTATCTGTGATTGATCGTGTTGATTTAAATCAAACGCACTCTTTCTGTTTGTTTTGGGAGCTTAATGAGAATGTCTTCTAGCGATTTATTATTTGCAGGTCATTTATTATTTCAAACAAAGAAGAGATCAAATTCCCTAAAACCCTGGACTCATGAAATATTGTGAAATCGGAGCATGTAGTATTCTCTGCGCAGAAACGAGACTCATTAACAGTCCGAGGATGCTCCACATTCACCAAACTCACCGGTATTCTCCTTGGAGGTCACGCTCAGGTTGGGAAACTTCAATGCTGTTGCATGTTTTATGAGTATTTTGTACAGGTTTGCAAAGAGTGTCGACCTTAAGAAGCTGAAAACGGTTCTGATGATTTCTGAGAGGGGGGGCATCTGCATGAGAAACCAAAGAGAGAAAATGAGCAGATTGACAAAGCTAATCAAAGAAAATAAAGGGGCATTGGTTGATTAGAAAAAAAACAGGGAATACTCTCGCTGTTCCCATGTGAGCGTCTGTTTTTCCTTTATTAATAGACATGTATCTGACATTTGAACAGTGTTGGTAGTTATAACTAACGCAGTTACTTTATTCAGTAACTAATAATGTAACATGTTGTTTTCAATTACCAAACGCTGCGTTACTCTGTTTCTTTTGGTGAGGTTTCACAACGGCACGGTTCCCATAACACTTTAGCGATCAATAAAGTTTAATTGAATTGGAAAAACTAAGCGCTTGTCACCCTCTGGCGTCATAATCAAACATGCGCCACGAAGAGGATCGGTCAGGTCAAGACACGACATGATGGCGAGCAAGAAGGGGAAGATAAGTTTCTCTTCATGGATATACTCACATTATTTTCAACTCAAGAGCAAAAAGAAAGACAACATTTCCGTAACATGTAAAGTGTGTCAAAAATCCTTTTAACAGCGAACAACAGCAATCTACTGAAGCACCGAGAGGAGCGGCATGCTTTGACTAAGTTAGCAGCCAAGGTAACGCAGCATCCACGACCAAGAGTCACTATTTTTATCTTTTATCTTTTTTAGCGATATATTATTCCAATGGTTGCGTAAAATTTTGGCATTAGCGTCAAGGTTTGTGTTGGTGCACAATGGATCATATTGCTTGGCTGATTAGACTCAGTGATGTGGATGTAAATGAATGAAAATGGTTGTTTTAATCAAATCCAATAAGAGCATTGGAAGAATGTTTTACAGCTACTGAATAGTTACTTTCACATTAACACATTACTTTTTTAATTCACTAACTAGTAACAGTAACTAGTTAGTATTTTTCAGTAACTAGCACAACACTGCATTTGATATTTCAACAAACTCATGAAATACCATCCTGCATCACTTCAGACACTCTTTCATTCCTCAAAAGTTTCTCCTCTCACACCTCAGGATGGTTTCTGTCTCTTTCTTGGTTCGGACATGTTCCCAGTGCAGGTCACTTTATCTGCAGAAGTGTTTTTCCTGCTGTGCATCAATAACAAAGAGGAAAACTTTCCATCAGAGCTCTTCGTCAGGTCCTAATCCCTGGAAACACGTCAGACTGGATATTGAAAAAGGACTCAAAAAGCCGGTTCGGTGTGAGCTGTACGGGGGATTATTAGGAGATTTTGTTGTCAGACATTTCAGCTCATTTCTGTCCCGAACTCCGACTGTTTACCGAGAAACCGGACGGGAAATTCAAAGCCGCTCATGAACTATTCGCTCCAGTGTCCGTCATTTTATCTCAGGGACTCTGAGACTTTTCATCCCAATAATAACAATTCATCAATCAGTCCGGACCCTCCTGCAGCTCGCCGACAGAGGATCCGGTTTCAGACGTGGTCAGGGGCTCCGATGATCCGCAGCCCCCCTCCTCACTCGCTCACGTCCTCTATTATTTATTCAGGGCAGCCCGTGGTGAGCGGTGGATACAGTGGCAGGCCGATCTCTCACCGAGGCCGGCTGATGAATAGACCAGATCCAGTTCTCCATCAGACACCAGGTGAGCTCCAACCCGGGCCCATTCCTCTGCATGTTTTCCACGGGAGACCCCCGAGTGTGGGTCATTTATCTTAGCTGTAGCTCAGACTTTAACTCCTGCATATTTCTCGCTGTAATGATGTTGTTATTAATTTATGAGTTTTCATCATCCGGAGTTGGAAACGTGGTGTAAAAACTCTGCAACTCTTACGACGTCTCTCTCCTGTCTAATGAATGTAGATCTATGTCCTACATTAGAGATGAGGCCGTGACGTAATGTTACCACTCTGACTGTTAAAGTGCATCTCAATGCCACTGGAGGTTCATGCAGAAAAAAAAACATAAAACACATGTAGAGATGCAGAAGAAGAAAACACAATTTCATCATATTTTCATGCTTTACTTGAATGGCCTACATGTGAAGCAGTTTCTTTTTAATGTGCATGTTTTTGTCTTCAGAAAAAGTCGAACTGTTACTGTCTTCACAAACCAAGCATGAGTAAAATCATTGTGCGACTGAATTACAGGTTAAGTCAATGCAAAGACGCGATTAGACGCTCGTACTACTCAGACGGCGCGAATGATGCAATTTAGACGGGAGCTGAAAATTAGTGATGTGTCCTTTAGTGCGGTTACTCGACTTTGGAGCTTGTGCCGAGTAATCCTAGAACTTTTGGCGAAGCGTGTATCCAGGCTTGTGTTGGTGACGTATGTGTTGATGTTCGAAGGCTCGCGAGGCCGCTGTACCACATGACTGATTCAAGAAACAGTTCGTTTGCGGGTTTGGCAGATGATCTAAAATACAACGGGCAGCAAAACGCAATGGATTCCCAGACGGTTGTTCACTGGTTTCTAAAATGGAGGACAAAATGATCGTGTCGGTGTGTGGGTGCCCCAAATTATATGATACCTTTTCTTTCAATTACAGAAACGGGAATAAAAAGGAGTTTGTCTGGAGGAAAGTGAGTGAGGAGATCGGGTTATCTGGTAAACTGTAAAAGACTTTTGTCTTTCACTTGGCAGGGATTATCATTGAAATTATCATTGAAGCACAAATGAAGCGAGGAAATACTATTCATTCATGCATCTAGATTCACGTGACTCAATTTGGTAGATGATTTTACTCACGCTTGGTGTGAGCGCCTCATTAGTGTCCACCTGTAGAGGCTCAGTTCAGCTGCAGGATTGCAGGTAGAAGAAGAGGAAGAGGCCATTTCCTTCATCTTCAACCACAAGAGAGAGCAATCAACATTTTCCAGCGGAGAACCTTGGCCTTGGATTTATTCTTGGATTGATTCTCATCCCAGCTTCAGACCCCACCCCGACCTGTTGAAGCCAACAAGACAACGTCATCTACAAAAAGCAGAGATTGAATTTTCCTGCACCGCGAGATCCTGTCCATGAAAAACACAAACCAAAAAGAGGACAAGGGGTCAGTCCTGGTGGAGGCCAACATAACCGACACTTATATACATTTCCTACATTCATCAGGAGTTTGATTTTAAATCCAGTCAGATTAGAGTGTTTCACTCATTAAAACCAGGTCTGAAACTGCAGCGATCCTTCATGGTTCATTTATCAGATGCTTCAAATCTGTGTTTCTGATTTCCTTCCATTAAACTACAAAAAGCAGGAGGAAACTTATAAAGACAAAGACATGAACTTTCTCTGTCAGCGTGTTAGATTAGTTTTCCACTATAAGATCTGATACGATACCGTGTGGTGACGTTTAAAGAAGCAAATATCAATCAGAGACGGTGCCGTTACCGAACTTAATTAAAGCCATAAACATTTCTGCTTTCATGACAACACACGTCGATTGTTATGAGCTTCACTTTACGACTGACTTGTTACAGGCTTGATTTTACAGCCGGCCCTGAATGAGTCCCAGTAAAGACATATCACGGTTCATCTGTTGACATACAGACTAAAATCCAGCTCGACGTGCAGAAGACTTCTGGGCTCCTCAAGGCCACATCATGAGTCGAGTCTCCGCTCCCTGACAGATTGAGTTTTTTCTTCTCGGCTCGTCACACACAGGCATAATTTAGAGTCTTAACATTCACAGCAGGTAGCTCAGATCAATCCTCATCGTAAAAACACTCAGGAGAGGGAATATAGGACACTGTGGCGCAGAGTGCTGGCGTTCAGACTTCATATTAGAGTTTTTAAAATGAAATAGAGTTGGAAAATCTCTACGAGTAACCTACGTTGATTTGTGACAGGGATATTTGTTTGTCTGATGGAGAAACAGGAAGTACTGGACCTGTATCCACCATGAAAAAGACCAGGATGTAAAGCTGGTCCTCTCACAGTTCCCAGAGTCGTATATTTATGATGTTTTCCATCTATAGATTGAGCGGTTTTGTGACGGATTTGACGTACGGCGCGCACCAAAGGTCAGTAAAGTTGTATGAGTCTGGGTGACGCATGGATGACTGATGCTGTGAGTTGCCTGAGAGATCGATAATGGTGATTCAACATGAATGCTGCAGATGTGGAGAAGCCATGCCTGGTACTGCTGTGGACTTAGAGCTGCAATAAAACTTATTGAAACTGCACCCACGCTCATATTCGTGAGTCGCAGATAGAGCCGTTAGATTCTCTGGTAAAGGTAGCGTAGTCAGGGTCTGAGGAAGTTCCAGTTTTTAGTTGAAATCTTGAATGTAAACACTACCTCTCCCTACCAGTTTCCCCTCAGCTTCTCCTCTCCCCTCAAGCCCCGCCCACAAACAGACGCTCCTGCTCACTCGTATCGTTCCAATTAAATTCAGATATAATGCAGATAAATACTTCAGATCATTACAAATGGGGCCCAGTCAAGGTGAAAGTCAAAAGCATTGGTGCTACTGTAGATGCCAACAGACTACCAGCAAACACAATGTTTGCAGGACTTCTACAACTAGGATAAAGTGACATAGTCCAGGACCCGAGGGAGGACAGTTTAGTGATGGCGCTACAACACGCTACAGCAGGTCCGTTTGACAAGAAACACTTCTGTTACAGACACTTGTCTTACTTTGTTAAAGCGGTTTACCTGTCCAGCAGAAAGGTTACAGGGTCACCAAGATCCCCAAGCGTCCCCCATCGTTTATGTTGACCCGGCTTTTTAGCTCTTGTCCGGTCTACCTCCGTTTTAAGCGCCCGTTATTCCTCGAGAGTCTCCGGTATTTACTTTGTTTTCTTGCTTGTGTCGGCAGTCGTGGCCAAAGGAGGATTCAGACAATTTTCCGAACTTTCTGGTTGGATTCTACTTTCCGATGTTGTAGCACGTTAACTTTGTTTGGGCTCCTGAACGACACGGGGGAGCAGCGTCTGCCTCACAACCAATCAGGTTAGAGGAGGTGGAGAACGGCTTTGTTTACAGTTAGAAAGAGCGGGCCACTTGAAAAGTTTAAATGTTGACTACACAGAGAAAATAAAACACATAGATACCTTTATATTCCCAAAGGTCATCAATAACTTATAGCTATTGACTGATATTGAAAGCACAAAAAGAAGATGCTTCTATAACAGATTCCTGCCTATCCCACCTTTAACCACGAGCGTTTTCAGTGACTTCAAACCTGTAGGCTACAGAGGATTTCAAACACCATGTCCATGAAGATCCAGGGCCGAGTTTCCTCCACAACAAACAAACTATTCCAGGAAGTCAAAGGTGAATGAATGCTGCCAGTAAACACGCAATGGGAGATGCTTTTTATTTTGGAGGTGCATGAGTCTGAAATGTGTTTCCACGGTCGTCCATGAAGGAAGAATTCACTCTTGTTGCCACGACAACCTCAAACAAACAAACAAACAAACAAACAAACATTGTCCCTTTGCTGTCATGGTCCATACCTTCCATGTTGGATTCCTCACGTTATAGAGGGTCTCATGATTACGTGGGTTAAAAAAAGTGTGTGTTATATAAAAGCAGCAGCCGTCTCTCTTTTCTTTACAGTTGCTTTCAAAAGCACCAGGAGACCATTCAAACCAGGAGGTATTCACTGTGATGCTCCAGTTACATTTGGTTTCAGCTTCAGCTGGATGTCTACCAACCGGAGAAAAGCAAGTCCACCATTAAAGACTCGTATACAGATTCATTAGGGTCCCTCGGCCCATTAAGAGCTCCTTATGTGCTCTCTGTCTCAAAGATGGCTCAAGGCAAAGGAGAAAGAGTCAATGTTTGAGAGAGCGTGTACTGTACAGAGTCATTATGTTGAAGAGTCTGTATGTGTGTGTAAGTGCGAGGAGAGGAGACCAGCGGGGGAACGTGTTGAAGGGGGGCGAACAGGAAAATGACAAATGGCAGAGACCACATTTCTCCTTTTTCGGCCTGAGGCGAGACGAGAAGGTCCAGAAATTCTCCTTCACACAAAAATGCACCGCACACTACACTCAGTGTTAATTTTTGAAGCTGACGTGAGACTTTTTCACACATATTCTGCTTCAAACTCACTTGGACGGATTTGGTACGGCTGGATTTTTCATCAGCGCACCTGTCAGCACCATGGAAACTGGCTGAGCAGATACAAGATCGGCCTGCGCCCAACGTTTGTGTTCACTTCTTCCAATACGGTTCAATATGAATTGCTGTGACTGAAGGACACAAACAGAGGACAGGTATTGAAATCAGATTTGCTTGTACTAACAGCATCTATATAATGTTTCTGCAGACTCACATCTCAGGGGCAGTTACCCCCAATTTCCACCACATCCGGAACAGCTACGAAAAGGCAGTTTTCGCCGATTGTAGCTGATCGTAACCATTCAAGTTAACGTGTCAATTTCCACCGGCTTCTTTCTGTGCCACTGTGGATTCCTTGACTCCTCAGCAAGAGTTCTATTTTTTCTGGATGCCAGAGAATGCCGGATAAATTCAGCACAGATTAACCCGTGCTGGAAAAGAAGTCGGGCACAGACACAAAATAAAACACTCCGCGTTTCAGGCGGGTCGTATTTCCCACCATGCAAATGGGCGAAGACGAACAAGTGAAAGGTTTTCAGACGTCATTTCACCCCGATGACACCATGGATGAGGAGATGCTGATTCTAGAAGTCTAGAAGTAGATTTCCTCCTCTGGAAGGACACAATCTACTGCTTATATGTCTAT